GCCCAATAAGATGAATCAGTATCACCTTCAATGAAATGAAAACGATTAACATTCATGCATTTATACATAAAATCATAAATGAAAACCAAATACCAGTATTTTGCGTTATCTAAAGTGAAGAATGCCTCTTGTAAACATGTATCACATCTATAAAATCTATCTTTAAGCATCACTTGATATGTATCCTCACCTATTTCTCTTATGTTTTTAAACTTATTTGACATACATGCAACGCGTGACTTCTGTGCATTCATTATTTTAGTCTTTGCGTAATTTTGTGTATTCATTGCATCGTAACCATATGATCCATTAAGCGAAATCTTGCAAAATAAACTTTTTCCTTTATTTCCTTCTAATTCAGCCTTTTGTCTTTCGTTCATAAATTTGTTCGCAAATTCATTAAAACAAGTTTTTTAGTAAATGTTAAAATTGATTGAATGTCATCAATGATAAAATGAAATCTGTCTATTAGATACCAAAGATAATAAGAAGAAAATGGTTGATATTGGTTGTATGTTGATGCTAACTGAGTTAATTTCCTCTGTTTCTGGTCAACTGGTAGATTGTTTGATTTCATGTAATTATACATAAAACTGCCAATTGTTTTTTCATCTGTGATAATATCTAAGTTTCTTATTATTGGTAAAAAGTTTATGTAATCATTAATGTATTTTTCATCAATGTGACCCTTTACTTCAGCCACGAATAAAGTATTTTTCTTCTTAATTATTCCCAGTGCTTTTGCTTTCTTTGTTGCTGTATCACAAATGATAACACCATTCAATCTTCCCGGCATATACATTTTATGGTCAGTATATTGAATGAAATCATGAGGATTAGATGAAAATGATGAAGGATATAATGAATTAAAATCAACACCAACGAAATGAGTCATGATGTTGGAAGTGTCCTCATTTGATACAGTTTTAGTTTCTGGACTATATGAAAGTTTATTAATGTGCGTGATTCCTTTAAGATTTACTCTATGTTGAACATTTGATAAACCACCAGTAATTACATTACGGAGAATGTGATAAGCTTCAACTGAATCTAAAGTCATTGGTAAATTATTTTTTAATGCATAATTTCTTAAATTGATTCTTAAGCGTTGAACATCTTCATCTTTATTTGATTTTACGACATTGCAATAACAACACATTAACTGACAATTTTCTTTGGTGTTTGGTTTTTCATTATCGATTCTATCCAATGTTGGTTTATTTGCATATGTAAACGCTTTACCACACATTTTGCATTTAGATGAAAGGATTAAATCGTGATAGTATTGAAAATCATCCATTGAAACATTATTTTTAGTATCCCTTTCTGCTTTTTCATCTTGTTTCTTATATGATTCAATTTTATATTTCCAATACTTTTTCGTTAATTCAAAACTTGATTCTATCTCTTCCTCGGGATATTTTTCATTAGGATTAAAGTCTTTATATGCTAAAGCGTAACGAATCATTGAAGCATTCGATGATAAAGAAAGATTATGAAGCATGTCAATTTTATAAACAAATGTTTCTTCAATAATTTTATCGATTGGGTCAATCATAATTTCAACATCTTTATTGCAATAATGAATAAAATATTCTAATCTATTCTTAAAGTTTTTAGCATCATTGAGATATATTTGATAATCACTATCTGATATAGTTTCTTGAGTTAATGCTGAATAAAATGAATCTTGAGTGAATGGTTCCACTTTATATAATTCTTCTTCGTAATTTTCCCATGTGATGAATTGATAAGGGAAAAAGGATTTAACACGTGATTTATTGTTTCCGAAATCTTGAGTGAATTGGTCTAATGTCCCACCCGCTATATAATTTCTGATGTCAATAAATCTCAATTCATATGGAACGTTTGTTTTCTTTACAATGATTTGCTTAAATTGTGAAGATGAACCCAGCATTGATTTTATTTTCCATTTTGCAGTGTTTAAATCACGAAGAATTAAATTTAAATCAAACTTTCCCGAATTAAAACCTATGATATTCACTTTATTGAATTCCTCATCTAGAAGTTCTTTAAATGCTTCCTTCTGTTTTTCATTTAATGTTTGAGACAAAGTCCCCGCCGTTTGCGGCTTCAATAATTCTTCATATTGTTCAATATTTGATTCAACAACTAATGAACAGGTTGAAAATAAAAACTCAATCCAATCAGAAATAAAAGAATCACTTGAAGTTAAGCAAAAATTCCTCGTATATGTTTTATCATTTAATTTAACCGTTGATGATACCATGAATGGTTTTAAGTAAGCGTTCAAAGTTGCACACTCAGAAAGTTGTAATTCTTCTTTAGTCTCTAATGTTTCGAAGTCAAAAGTAATATAATATCTTGTCGGTTGATAATATTCCTGCAAATTGTGAGCTAATAACCACTGATATATCTTCTGTTTCGTAATATGTGGTGCATATGGTTGCTGTGTCTTTTGCAATTGAACGTCTTGAATTAATCTTCCATTATTTTCTTTACATTTCTCACAATGCTTTAAAAATCTTCTTTGGTTTTTCCTTTCTGGATCATCACGGATAGAATAAACTTCTTCTTTACAATATGGACAAACTTTATAGCCAGTGAGTGCTTCTACGTCTGTTATTCTGTCAGCGTGAAGTTTTCCACATGGACTCTGTGTTAATAAAATATTTACTGTTTCAAATTCTGGATCTATCATTATTGATTCCACTAATGGAAAGTCTACCTTATTTATGTCCACGTCTTCTGGTTGAGGATCACAATAATAGAAATCAATATTAACATTTAACATTCTCGCTAATCTCTCACTTTCTGATGAAATGTCAAACCCTTCATATGCATCTATTGCTTCATTTAAATAGCTTCTACGAGTTTTAGGATTAACACCATCAGGAATGTTATAGAAGCGTTTAAATAACCTTCTACCTTCTGCTCTAATTTGATTATCATTCATTTTAGCTGTTCCGTTTTTGTTCATTTATGTAAGAATAAAAAATTAAAAAATAAATAAAAATAAAGTTTATTTTTTAAAGCCCATAAAATGAATTAAGAACACATAAATTTTTATCATCCGCGACGTGACGAATACATTTTAATTTACTCAAGAATGCGTACCCTGATACATTAAATCTAATTCCTGTCTTATTTAATTTCACAACTTTGAAAAGGAATGTATGAATAGCTATAAAATGATGAGAAGATGTTTTATGGGTTGCTTCCATTTTTTCTGAAATAAATGAATAAATATAATGGTTATAAGTTTTCATATCTTTTATATTCTTAATAACGAATGGTATAGACCTTTCCACTTCATCTTCCTTCGGTGCTGTTCTTTCATATGAAACATTATTGGTATCTTCAACAATGAAACCGCAATCACATAAAATTTTATATGTTCCAATGGTTTCTTTTGATATTTTATCTAATAAATCAAAAACTTTATCAACACCTGTGCATTTATTTAAATAATAATTTGTGTAAATATCATGATCTTCTTTCTTAATCGTATTAGTTGCATATGTCACGTTTTTAAGAGCTTTTTTGAATTTTTCGGAATCTAAAGGTGGTGAAAGTAAGATACAAGGGTATTCTTCATTATCAATAAATTGTAACTTATGTTTACGAATAAATTTAGTACCTTCTTCTGAAAGTGTTTCATCTATTTCGCCATCTAATAAATTTTGTGTTGATTCTGAGACATAATTTTTATATCTTTCTTCATGAGATTTCTGAACTTCTGATTCTGAAGCTGGGATATTCATTAAACCCTCTACTTCAGTTTCATTATATTTTTCAACTTCTCTTAATTCCTTAATTTTTTCATCTATTTCATCTCTTATTTTTTTCAGTCTTTCAATTTCATCATATTCATCATCTTTAATCCGTTCTTCATAATATTCAGGGAAAACATCGGGTTCTTTAGGTTTTTCTTCTTTAGATGTGGGATATAAGAAATTTATAACATCATCTTTATTCATTTTTCCATCATAATCAAATTCATTTAAAAACTCCGCGAATTTTTTACAATTTCTTAAATAATATTTATCAACTTCATAACCCGCCTCCTCTAATATATCCTTTATTTCCTCGTTTGTGAATCCTAATTTTTTAACATCGTTAGTTTTGACGCTCATTTCATACGAATTAAAAATAAATTATTCAAAAATGTAAGACATGAATTTTTAAAGTTTATTTTTTAAAAATTTTTTTATTTTTTATTTCATTATGGTAGTGAATCTTTTATTCATGAAAATAATTATTTCTAATTTCTTTTACTCGTTTATGAGGTCTTTGATTATGACTCCATTGATTCCATTCAGGATTTAAACAATGTTTAATTAATCGCGGAATATCTGACATCATCTATATATAGCTTCTTTTATAAAAGATAAAAAATAAATTATTTTAAAATTAATGTTAATTTTTTAAAATGTGTTTAGTATATAATATTTATTACTAATTTATTTAATAATGTCGCGCTTTCTTACGAATTCATGACTTAAAAAACGTAAGAAAAAATTTTTATATCATCTATATATAGAAGATGTGAAAATATACCTTCATCTATATATAGACGTAACAAAAAAAGTCACACAACCCTTCCTATCATACTACTAATTATTTGTGAAAAACATTTTAGATATTCTCCTGAATTTCGATTTCTAAAATATAACAATATGTGAGAGATTTAAATGGCAAAATAAAAAAAAGTTGGAAATGCAATATATAATATTTGAATTCAGAAAAGGATCGTTGTAGAATTTCATTATTAAGCTTCTTCGTATAAAACTAATTGAAGCTTCTCATTATGAAACTTTTTGTGCTTATAACCATAGTCTTCTGATGCATTGAATACAATATCATAATTAGCACATACATATTCATATGTATCTTTACCAATTTAACTATGATAAAGCATGAAAATGTATTACACACAAATATCAAAATAATTTATTTTCATTTATTGATGATGCATTTTCAAATACTTTCAAAGTGTCATTTACAAGTTAATAGATTTATTTATACATTCCAAGAAAAGCTTTATCAAAAATAGAAGATTTATATACATTTTTGACCATCTTTTTGATATCTTCTAGATCAAATTTATCAATTATTAATGTTTTATCTGCCAATGGATCATTATAATATGCGCTAGGACATCCATCCGTAATATAATGAGATATTGTTGAATCTAATGGTTCCATTGTTTCAATTGTTAATGAATCATCATAGAAAGTTTGTCTGACTGTGTTTTCATTAAAGTAACAATTTTCGAAAGACGGATTGAAATAAAATAAATAGTTTCCTTTGTTTCCAATGAATGAACAATTTGAATATGTACATGTGCGTGAACAATAAATTATTCCTTTATCAACTCCTCGGTATTCATTGTTTAAATAATTACAATTTATAATAGCAATATTGCCTAAATTCATCATTCCTCCCATACCTAAAGATGACGTATTTGATGCGGTGGTAAAATTAATATATCCTAACTCAGTAGGATATTGAATTCCATATGCAGCATATTCAGTAATTCCATGATAAGAAGAATTCATGTTATTTATTCGGATATCTCCTTGGAAGTGATAGAAGGCAGAATTATCACCATAACATTGTGATATAGAGCATTCAAACGCATAACTTTTGCAGTCGCTTTCATAAGGTAATTCAATTTCGTATGCACATCCATAACTATCACATGATGACAATGAACAACAAATATGAACTATGATGCAATCGGAATTTTTGATATAGAACGATCCACCTTCATTGGAACTATTATTGTAAAAAGAACATGTTTCAAGTAATACTTTACTACTTGAATCAATATTAATTGCTTGATTTTGAATATGGAAAGAAAATACAGCATGATGAATGTAATAATTTCCATGCCCAGATATGGTTTCGTTTGCAGTGTTATTAATAAACTCCGTCGAATCGTAATATTCTGAAAAACTTCTTTCAAGTTGCAAATAACTTTGTTTTTTGATTTCTTTCGTTGATAACTCATTTTCTGGTATTGCATCATGCCGTATTTTCTTTGAATGAGATTCGGATCCTGTTATGAAATCATTTGATCAGAATTTCTGATCAGATTTGAAAAATTGTGCTAATTTAAATACAATTAATTATATTAGATTCTTGGTAAAGAATATTTTGAATGATCGATATTCAAATTTTCTCGTAAATTTTTAAAATTAAAACAATATAGTTATTTAAATAATTTATTTTAGATCTAACTATTTTTTTTTGAAAAAAGGACGATAATAAATTGTTTATTTGAATTAAATTGTGAGCTTTACAAAATTTGCTAACAATTCTGCTAAAATATGAATATCTCTTTTGGAGTTATCTTTGAATTATTTTACATACTCTGCATTTATTTTTCATGATTAAGGATATTATGCCATAATTTTGCAAAGAGTTGTAACAAGATGAAAAATTCAAATTTTCTAATACCAACATTGAAGATATATTTATTTCTGTAATGTAGTAATGATTTTGTTAAAAAGAGATGTTTTATAAACATTAATAACAATTTTTTTGATGTCTTTAATATGTAATTTTTTAACTGATATATCTTTTTTGTAAAAATATGTAACAGAGCATTTTTCTGTTGTATAATGAGATATATATGAATCTAGTGGTTCAATCGATCTAAAATAATTGTGCATCATACCCATAAAAACAGTTTGATATACAGTGTTTTCATCAAAATAACAATTATCAATATTTGGATTTGTCATAAATAAGTTACTTCCTTCATTTCCCAAGAATGAACAATCAGAAAACTTACTATCCCAAGAACAATAAATTATAGCAGAATTCCATTCAAGGCAAGAATTGTTGAAATAATTGCATTTTGTAATGATATTGTGAATGCATATTTGATACTGTTGTGAAATTCATATAACCGACTTCTTTTTCATTTAAGATTCGATATGCCGATGCCATGGAAGCGTGGTTATAGGATGTATTCATATTACTTACTTGGATATCTCCATGACTATGGGCAATTGAGAATGAAAATCCTTCACATTGTGATACTGAACATTCAAATGCATAACTTTTGTTGGTACTATTAGGATATGAATCAATGAAATATGCGCATCCGAATATAACCACACCCTGAGGATAACTTTTTGACATTGAGAAACAAATATGAACTAATACGCATTCAGAATATTCGATATACAATGATCCCCAAATTTCACGGGAGCTATTATTGTAAAATGTGCATGTTTCGAGTAATACTTTGCTGTTAGAAGTAAGGTGGATTGCTGTTTTATTATAATGGAAAGAAAATATTGCATGGTGAATGTAATAATTGCCATTGCTTGATATTGATGCGTTTTCTGTTTTATTAATAAAATCATTAGAATTGTAATATTCGGAAAAACTTCTTTCAAGTTGCAAAAAGCTTTGCTGGTTGTTTTATTTAGTTGATTACTCGTTTTTATGCATTTAATCATACTGATTCGCTAAAATTCTTAATTTCTTCAATTAATTGAATTCTGTTGAATGTTTTAAAACTTCACAAAGAGAAGGACCAAATGAACATAAGATTTCATCTGCATGCTGTATTAGAATACTCATTGATTAAAGAGTTGCTATTGAAATGAAAAAAAAATTGATACATTTTTTAGTCAAAATCAAATTGAGAACCGAGATCAAAGGAATGATAAATTATGGTAATTGTCTTGAATATCAGTCACTTTTTCGTGTCGAAAATTTTTACAAAAAATTTTTTGATGACTACTAAAGCATGGTGTTATAATTGTGAAAAGAGTATAGTTCCTACAGATGCTGGTCTTTGCCCTATATGTAACACAGATTTCATTGAGTATGGAGATTCAGAGTTTAATGCAGATCCTCAACCAGCTCCAGCTCAGCCAGCACCAAGTAGACCAAATCCCCACCCAAGAAGAGTTGTCCGCAGAGTCATTGTTTCACCATTTAATTTCTTCGGCGGCTTACCAGGAATGGGAGGAAATGGAAATCAGCCAAATGGATTAGCAGATATGTTTAATAACATCCTTGAAGGTATATTTGGCCGCATCGGAGGAGATAACCAGAACGGTGATGGCCGACAAATGGGAGATTTCTTCTTTGGAAATGAAGAACAATGGCAAGCTCTCGCTGACAGACTATTCAGACTTAACCAACAATCTCTCGGTTCCCCACCTACAGCAGACGATTTCTTGTCTTCTGACTCAATGAAACCAGTCAAATACACTCCTGGCTGCTGCGCTGAAAATGTATGCTCAATTTGTCTAGAAGAGTTCAATGAAAACGATGAAGTAGTTATTTTGCCTTGCAAACATGGTTTTCATGAGCCATGTTTGCAGCCATGGTTAAAAATGCACAGCGAATGCCCAAGCTGCCGTCACAAGCTTCCTACAAAGGATTAGAACTGTTATATTTATATTATTACCATTTATTTGCAATTAAATTTCTTTTGATTGCATTTTTTGTTTCTAAAGCCATAGAAATAGATTTAACTTACTACATGACCAGAATACACTACAAAACTCTACAACTATTATACAATATAATAGTTGTATTTTCTATGATTCATGCTGACAAGTTTGCAAAAGGTTTGTTTTCCATAGATAACTACTAATAAACTTTACTAATCATATTTGCTATCAGAATTTTCTAACTATGATTGAATTATTAAAGTGGTGTCGATATCTATATGTCTCATGTTACCGAATCACTTAGCAACGTTTCATGAAACTCATATTTTTATTAGAAATTAAATTTTTTCCTTCAAAAATACAAGATTTGTTGTTTATATAAAGGTATTTGGATCATATTTTTTAATCCTTGTATAAATGGCTAGTTATTTTGAAGATCAAGTATTTAATAATTTTTTACTCTCAGTATTTAGCTAAAAAAAATGTATTTTAAATGAACTTGCTGAGCCATCTGAAGCCTTCAGCATAGCCACTCTTATTCTTGATAGAGCACATGAAGATGCGAATTGCGCGTTGTCCGGCTGGGACTGTTGTAGCCTGCAAATCTGTCTGGGAGAAAATTCCGAGAGAAGAAGCGAGCTGGTCTGGAGATACAGCTGTTGGAATATCAACTTTGTTACCGAGAATTAAGAATGGAACATTCTTAAGAGTTTCATCAGAAAGAAGCTTGTCAAGTTCTGTCTTAGCTTCTGCGAATCTGTCTGGAGCGGCAGCGTCTACCATGAAAACGATAGCGTTGGCGTTGACGTAGTAGTCTTGCCATGATTGGCGTGCAATATCGTGGCCACCAAGATCGAAAGCAGAGAAATGAATGCCTTCGATTGTGAGATCGACAATTTGATATGTCTTTGTCTGCTCGAATTGCTGGAAGTTTCCAGTCTTGAGGCACTGAAGAAGTGTTGTTTTACCGGCATTATCAAGACCAAGAAGGAGCATCTTGGCATTCTTGTTGCTAAGGCCAAGCCAGCTAAGAACGTTTGTAAGCCAATTCCAAACTGAACTGAAGTACTTCATTTGGTTTTAAAAGTGACGCAATATCGTTGTTCTTTTTATTCTATCGTCTTGACCAGGCCAAATAATAAGTATATTTATTGCCCTTCAAATGATAAGTATACGGTCATTCTGTCAGAAAAATAATCTTTTTCCATTGAAAATTTAGCTCCCAAAGCTTTTGAAAATTGTTTCCGATCATGACGATAAAGAAGCAACCATAACCATTTCCCAAAGAAACATATGATTGCGCACCAATTTATATATTTAAAAACCTAACAATCAGAAAAATGCGCAATGCAATGTAAGCAAACATCAGCGCTAGATACTCAAATGACTCTCATAATACATTGAAAGATCGTATTGAACTTTTTCTATCTAATGATTTAGCATAGCGCAAAACAAAAAAAGCAAAATTATGCATTTTAAATTCATAACAACAAATTAGCTTTATTACAGGGAACTTTTAGTTGGGTAAAAGAATGGTTAGGATTTCCTCCAAATTATGTACTCAAAAAGAAAAATTAATAAAAAATCAAAATAAGATGTGAGTTATTTTATTTTTTAAGATACAATTATATATAAAAACCGGTTTAATGAAGAACAGAATAAACATTGTTTATATTTATTCTAATTTTTAAAAAAATATTGAATCAATAATGCGAAATAAATATCTAAAGTAACAATGAAACATCAATTTTGAAAGGACATTATGTAATTAAGGCTAAACTCTACTCAACAACGCGATTTTCGTGGAATTATTATGTTTTTGAGAAATAGTTAGGTTTTCTAATAGTAATGAAGCACCTTCAAGTAGGAGAAGCAATGGAGAATATATTTTGAGTCGAAATGAAGTTAAATAGTTAGCAAGCTAAAAGTGGTATTACTTCTGTTTGATTTGGAGCAGTATTAATTTGGGTTTGGACTTTGAGATGAGGACAAGGAATTTTTGTTTGATAAGTACCAATCTCGGAAATGAGAATTTGAATTTTGGAAAATATCCGGAAAACTTGTATCTCTAGTTGTGATGTTAAGTGGAGTGAACTTTATCCTTTTTGAAAGAATCGAGACATCGTCAGCTTTTGAACTATTTGCAAAAAATCTATTTAAAAGCGTATGGATTACAAAGTATACGACGATGATAAAGAGAATTGTGAACGAAGCTAGAATTGCTATGCTGATTGACTTTGGAGCCATTGAAAAAAAATCCGACGATTTCATAATTTTTTTGTCAATTTTTTTGATTATTTCTCCATCAAAACATCCCCTTTCTGACTTTAAGTCATTATTTAAGAATGCCTTGACTAATGGCTTTAAACTAATCTATAAACATTAGCAAAATTCAGACATTTTTATTTGAAATTGCTAGATCTACATATTTTGAAGAAGAAAGTCTTGTTTTCATTATGTGTATTATGTAAATAAGTAAAATATAACTAATGTGTAATATAACGCAAACATAAAAACAATTTATTTTGTAACATTTTTCAAACTAAAAGCTTTTTCAATTAATTTTCGAACATATTTAATAGGGACAGAATTATTAGCTACATGAAGATAGGAAATTCTACTATCACGGCCAACAACGTATATCTTTCCGGTCATTGTTGCAATGTTTATAAAAGTGAGCAGCCATTGCTCCATTTGCAACTCTATAACCATAGTATTTGGTTTCATATACAAGATATTCGTTAAAAGCGATCCATGAACAGCAAAAAGTAATTCAAATGAATTAAAATAACGAACTTGTTCTGCAAATGAAGGATAAAACTGGAAAACTTCCCAGTTATAAGAACTATATTTTCTTTGTACTGAATTAAAAATACTTTCAAAATTTGAAATAGATCTCGGCATATTTGACTTTCTATTGGCCAAAACATATCTAAATGGTTCTATTCTATCAAGATACAGTAGTCTAACAACAGTACTTCTCATGTTAAGTATCAAATCTCTGTTTAAATCTCCACACCACACAGAATCTATTGTTATTAGTGTATTTGCATAAAACGGCATATTTAATCCATCAATTATTCGGGAAGATTCGATACCGAAAAAGTCTAAGTCATCAATAATAAAATTATAAATTTTTGGCAACGCAATTAATGAATCTTTTAAAAATTCTTCGGGTAGAGCTATTAGTGCAGGAAGTACTTCGATTGACCAATGCCCCCATTCATGGCTATGTTGGTGTCCAAGGCAAATAACTTTATCATATTTTGCATAACGATAATTTAAGCTTACAGTAGTTCCATTGAGGGTATATCGTGGATGACATGATGGTGCTATCAAGAAAAATCCATGTTTCGAGATAATAACGGATTCGGTTGTACAAACTACGTTTTTATAGATATTTATTGCTGTTTCATATTCATATTCCTTTTTTGGAAGATATCCTGCAGGATAACCTCCAGTAACATAATGAATATCGGTATAATTCGGATAATTTTTTTGATTAAAAGTAATTATTGAATGATAATCTGGTGTTAATGCCTTTGCATAGTATCTGACGTCAATTGTATGAATAGATCCGTATCCTAGAATGCTTGCTTTGAAGATAATTTTTCCATCAAAAAATAAATCGCTTTTAAAGGTACTATGTAAAAATATCAATACTACTACATAGAAAAAAATCATCCTACTTGTTATGATCCTGATGTTATATTTGTATTGATGACTTTTCCTCATGAGTGTTTATGTTATTTTTTTATTTCGAAATTTTATATGAAAGCTGCTTGTATTTATGCAGATGTATCAGATATAGATCTTCGGAGCGAATACTTACCAAATTATATGATCCTATCATATGAAAGCATCAAAAATGGCCTTTCAAATCCTTTATTATTTCAAAATCAATTAAACCCATCGAAAATTATTATCGACTGCAATTGCAATGATGACGAATGTTTTAAACTAGGCAAATACCTTGGTATAAATAAGTTTATTATACAATTAACTGGAAATATTTTGATAGAAATTGCTCAATTCATTTTACAAGCATTAAATGCAGATGAAGCGTTCGAATTTATTGTAATATGCGATGAATTTAACCAATGGATGCGTTTATCCGAGTTATGCAACAATAATAAGCGAATTACTTGTTGTCCTGTATTATCTAAGAATATTAAGGACAATTTCTTTTGGTTTACAGTTCCTATTAGCTTTGTTATACTTACAAAATACCAATATGATGAAAAATGTAACATAAATCAAGAATGGATTCAATTTATACAACAACTACATGAAAGAAATTGTGTATTTGTTTATTTATCAAACATGGATAATGTTGGAATACTACTTAATAATTTATCTTCTATTGTTTCAGATATAAATTCAAATTCTCCTTTAATTCAGAAAGCTGATTCAGTTTTACCACCAAAAGATATTGTCTGTCAAATATTTCAAATGATTTTAAGTGAAAAACCTGATTCTTCCCTTGGAATTTATAGTTTAATGATGGAAGAAATTTCTTTAGCAGCTGCGCAGTTGGGATTTACGAATTTGTCTCTTATATCAAAAGATAATATCGTTCTTAATAAGCTTAAAGCTGTTTTTGGAGAAAAAATCAAAATAAAATTAGAAGATCTTAAAAATTCAAAGGCAGATTGTATGTTTCTTGATTGTTTTGATGGTTTTGGACAATACCCAGATATTCTTGCTTTAACAAATTGTTCCAGAATCATTCCATCAAAAATTGTCATAGAAATAATGCCTGTGATGTCACAATACTACTGGATGTATAGTTCTGATGATAAATCTGATATATCTATTGTTAATCCTGCTTTCGCAATGAGTATCAGCGAACCAAAGTTATTATTTGAGATTTCAAAGCCAGAAGATGCAAATAAGAGTGCTAAAATTGATTTTATATCAAATGTAAATGCAATTCTACACGGATTTATGTGTAGAACTTCATTTTGTATCAATGAAAATGATGAAATTTCAAATTGTTTCAATTTTATACCAATTTTGCATGCAGTAAAAGTAAGAAATGGTACTCCAATATCCTTTAGATTCGAAAGGAAATCAAATGGAAAGAAATTTTTCTTCCAATGGAATTTAACGAAGCCAGAGCTTTTACCAATACAAAACGCTAATGGTTGCTTATATAAATATGATGTTTGTTTGTAAATAGAGCTTAAATGTTATAAAATTATTAAATTTTTACATAATCATTATATATGAACTCAGAATACGTTAGTTTAAATCTAACAAGATCATTTGAGACCAAATGTATAAATCTAAAAAGAATCAATAAAATTTCTGAAGATAAAATTCATTTTATATTCATGAAACTAAATAAAAATATGCAGCTCTATCAGTATGAAAAAGGTGTGGGATTTAGGTGTCTATGTTCAATATGAATTCCTCGGAAAATATAATTCTGACAATAAATTTCAGATAAAATAAAGTACAGGATAATATGATAATGAATATCACTTAATTGGGAGGTGTGATTTTTTTTTCCACTCATTTTTTTTCGAAAACAAAAAAATGAGTGTTCAAGAATTCAAAACGATGCTCAAAGAAGATACATCGAATCTCATTGTTGTATTGTTCACAAGGGATGAAGATAAGGATGATGACTTTAACAAATACTTTGAAGAATTAAAGAAGAAAAACAATTACAAGTTTACAGTGTTTTATGTACTTTATGTACAGGATGCTGCTGAAATCTTTAAACAATACGGCATTACAGGAGTTCCAACAATGATTGGCTTCTTTAAACGAAATAAAGTCGGAAGAATTGAAGGTGGAGATAAAGATAAACTTGCCGAACTCATTAAAAACAATGAGCCACAACTATATAAAGGCAAGGCTCGCGTTATTACTGATGATGGCAAAGATGATAGTGAATATCTTGATAAATTAAGACGTCTTGCTGAACAACAAGCCGCACAAAGACCACCAGCGCCAAAACCATCCCCTAAAAAGCAAGCACAGCCTAAGTATACTCCTCCTGCTTCTCCAGTTAAAAAATCAAATCCAAAATGGGATGAAACAATAAGAAATAACATGCGTGGTGACCTTCTTGCATTAGAGTCACTTGATACAGAAGAGGAAATCGACAAATTACTTGATTATCTCGAAGCAATCGGAAAAGCAAATATAAGTTTCGATGATGTTCAAGTTTATTGCATGGATATACGCGATGGTAAATTTACAATACCAGACAAGATCCCAGAACCTCAAAATACTGAACAAGAACAAGAATTTTCGATCAAAAAGGAATTGACTCGGAAACAGAAAGAATTTGTCGAATTCTACAAAGCGATTGATGTTGATGAAAGCACTGCATACAATATCGCAAAGGATTTAGAAGATAATACAAGTGAAGACAGGTTGATTGAGAAATTAGGCGAATTCAACGATTATTGTGATATTATTCAGAACAAATCAATCGAATTATACGATGGTTTCATTTTACTTTGCGAATATTTCGATATTTCTACATCATTTAACGAAATCAACGAAGGAAACCACAAAAACATTGATTCCGTTAAAGAATACATCAAAGAGTACATCAATAACCAGAAGAATAAGTTCTTTGCATCACAGAAAGTGAAACAACTCCTTAATTCACCACGATCTTCATCAATTTCACCATTTGATTATGGAAATGACAAAGAAGAAGAAGAACGAATCAGATGGGAGCGAGAATTCGCAATTCGAGAAGCAAAGAAGAAGCGTGAACAGCGTGATGAAGAGATCAGACACAAACTTGAGATCGCAGAGAAAATCAAACAACAGCGAGAATCAAACAAAAGAATTGAAGAACAAGAAAAGCGACAAAAACAAGAGAATTCATTAACAGCACAACAACTTTTGAACAAAGCACAACAGACGACATCCAGTGGTTCTAAGTGCAAAGTCGCATTGTTTGGAGATGGTCAGACATTCACATATTTGATGGTTACAGGTGACACAGTTGAATCTCTCTTCGCAAAGTTATTTAACGATTTCCCAGAAGCGAAAGATAAAAACATTGTTTTGTTGCAAGATAAAACATGCGAAGTTGTCGAATACAAACTAACAAACACACTATCAGAAATCGGAGTGAAAGGTTTCACAAAGTTCAAAATACAAGTCAAAGAAAAAGATTCTCCACTCACACAATCTCCAAATGAATAAAAATAATTAAATTTATAATGTTTGATTAAATTAACATTTATTTTTTACAGTTATTATTCTAAATTTCACTAGAGAAACAATAAAATTAATGAGATCAATAAAAAATGTCCATATATCTTTTTGTATTTTCTTTTTCATTTGCATCTTCAATACTTTAAAATCTAGTTTTTGATTAAGGGTGCCCTTGTGCTCATTTCACTTTATTTCAGAGTATGACAACAGGATTTGATGAGACATTGATGAATAGCCTTAAGCAACAGAATCGAAGATATGTAAGTGCACATTTAAATTGATAAAATATATTTTTCATTGATAATTTATTTACTATATTCTCAAGTTTTTTTGCGCATCATGTAGATAATTTATCTCTTAGTCAAGCATTTAATTTGCATTGTATTCAAATATCGAATAATTCAAAACTTAAGTGCACATGTTCCCATATTTTAAGGTGTATATATGTGTATTCAGTGATGCTTCACGTCCGATGACAAGAATTAGAATTACTGTTAGATAATAGAAAGAATAAAAATTATTTAGAAGAAGATATGTTTACTGATACAACAAATGATGTTTTAAAAACATTATGAACAATGTTTTTGATGTCTTTCATTTTTAATCTTTTTTCTGATACTTTCTTTTTATAAAAATATGTAGCAGAGCATTTATCTGTAGTATAATGAGATATAAATGAATCTAATGGATATCCTGTTTCAAATGTTTCCGGAAAAAAATCAAACTTTAGAGTTTGATTTACATCATTATTATTAAAGTAACAATTATCAAAAGTTGGTTTTACTGCAAATAAATAGTTTCCTTTATTTCCTATGAATGAACAATTTGAATATGTACATGAAGTATCACACCAAATTATTGCATCACCATTATTTGTATCTTCATTGTTTAAATAATTACATTTTTTAATATTTAAATTACCATAATTTGCTAACACACCTTGTTTTTTAGATGATGTATTTGATATTGTTGTGAAATTAATAATTTCTGCTTCTTTTGAACTGTGAATACGATATGCAGCACATTCAGTAATTTCATAGTGATAAGATGTATTCATATTACTTACTTTGATATCTCCTTTGCATTGTGATACTGAACATTCAAATGCATAACTTTTGTTGGTACTTTCATCAAGTGAATGAATTTCATATGCGCATCCCCATTTATCGCTTGATGAAAGTAAACAACAAATATGAACTAAGACGCAATCAGAATTTTCGATAGAGAATGATCCACCATTATCTGTGGAACTATTGTTGTAAAATGAGCACGATTCAATTAAAACTTTGCTGCTAGAATTAAGGTAAATTGCTCGATTTTGGCGATGGAAAGCAAAAATTACATCATGAATGTAATAATTACCGCTTCCTGATATAGTTTCGTTAGTGGTCTTAGTAATAAAATCATTTGTGATATAATAATCTGAAAAACTTCTCTCAAGTTCGAAATAACATTGATTTTTGATTCCTTTTGTTGATAATGCATTTCTGAGGATTGATTAATGTTAATCACTCTGAAAGTATTGTTCAATCAAGCATAGAGATTAAAAGCAAATCAAGATTTCATTTTATAAAAAAAATGCTAAGGAAATTTTATGAAAAACTTGCCACAAAATATTGAACCGGAAAGTTTAGACCAAAAAGGAATTGAATCTTGAGGAGATAATTCTTGAATATTCATTAAAGTTAATATAATCAAAGAACAACTCATAGGATACTTCACATATTTGGAAATAACAACAATTACTTTAAAGATGATGGGGTCCATTATAAATTCCCCCATTATTATGAATACGGTGCCATTATTATAAATTCCATTTAATACCCATAATGGATTAATTCGAATAAAGGGTCAATTCGAATAACCGCCAAAAATGGAATAACGGGTTTTATGGAAATTCCATTTATTTTATCGGAATTTCGAATAACCGCTTTATTCGAATTTCCATTCAAATTAGAATTTCGAATAAACGGGTGTTATTGGAATTTCCATTCCAAAAAATGTTCTATTTTGGCTTAATACTCACACATCAAATATAGCAAATATGGATTATCATTTGTTTCCAAAAGATTAAATATATTTGGCATGAAATTTTGATTAGCTAGATCAATTACATATATTAGATACTGCATTTCTGGGAATACAAATTCCAATAACACCCGTTTATTCGAAATTCTAATTTGAATGGAAATTCGAATAAAGCGGTTATTCGAAATTCCGATAAAATAAATGGAATTTCCATAAAACCCGTTATTCCATTTTTGGCGGTTATTCGAATTGACCCTTTATTCGAATTAATCCATTATGGGTATTAAATGGAATTTATAATAATGGCACCGTATTCATAATAATGGGGGAATTTATAATGAACCCCGATGTATTTAATACTTGACAATGAGAGATTAAAATGAATTAATACTCGCAAATGTATAATCAGCAAAAGAAGCTTCATCGAACCAAACTTTTTGTATATCATTCATTTCTGTGAATTTTTCATTTTAATCGTTCTGAAACTATATTTGATTCAAACTTAGATTTTGTCAAAATTGCTTGCTGCATTCAAATTTTCAGTAATTTTTGCATTCATGAAATTTTTCTAATGTAAGGATTTGCAAACGATTCAAGATGTTGTTTTCAATTTGGCGGTTGGCATACTCTGTCCAATTTTTTTAAAAAAATTGAAATAGAATGCATCCCCCTGCGAGTGGAGAAATTATTATGAAAAAATAAATGTAAAATAAATCATAAGTTTTCAGTTTATTAACTAAGCAAAATATTTGTATCTATTGATGCGAATTATGGAAAATACCTTGAGACTTATACATCTCCATCAACTGAGATGTTAATGCGAAAATATCTCTGTATATTAAATTATTATGTAAGTGTATGCATGACGAGAAGCCATCAGTTTGATATAAAAATGTTCTCATTTATATTATTTAAATGAAGAAAGGTTTTGGACTAGGCAAAATGATGCTTTATAAACATTTATTGCATCAAATGTATTTTCCTTATAAAATAATGGACCTGAACAATAATATGTTGTATAATGAGTTATAAATGAATCTAAAGGTTGAATCGACACAAAAGTGATATCGTTATTTCTCACGTTTTGAGTTACACCTTTATTATTGAAGTAACAATTATCAATATATGGTTTTTGGGAAAATAAACAAATTCCTTTATTTCCGATGAATGAACAACCTGAATATGTACATGAATCAGTACAATCAATTATTAAATCAGCACCTCCAGTACATTTATTGTTTAAATAGTTGCATTTTGTAAAATTAAACCTTCCAAGATTATCCATTCCAGCACTTTCTGTAGATGATGTATTTGATGCTGTTGTGAAATTAATAATTCCTGTTCCTGTTGGATATTCAATTTGATATGCAGCATAAGAATAAATTTCATAGTGATAAGATGTATTCATATTACTTACTTTGATATCTCCTCTGTAATGATATAATGGCGTTCGATCCCCTTTGCATTGTGATATTGAGCACTCAAATGCATAGCTTTTGAAGGTACTCTCAGAAGGTAATGAAATTATGTATGCGCATCCCCATTTATCGCTTGATGAAAGTGAACAACAAATATGGACTAAGATACAATCTGAATTCTCAATACAGAATGATCCTCCTTTTTCTTTGGAACTGTTATTATAAAAGGAACACGTTTCAAGTAAAACTTTGCTATCTGAATTAAGGTAAATAGCGCGGTTTTGATAATGGAAAGAAAATATTGCATAATGAATGTAATAATTCCCATTTCCTGATATTGTTTCGTTATTGGTTTTATTATGAAAATCAGTTGAGATATAATAATCTGAAAAACTTTCTTGAAGTATGAAATAACTTTGATACTTGATTCTTTTTGTTGAAACTGCATTTCTGGAATTTGTTTTATATTAATCTTTTTGAAATAATCAATAAATCGAGCTTATTCACTGTCAAGAAAATAAAAAATTTCATGTGACTTTTTCTCTCAATTTTTTCGAAAAAGTCGGCAGGGAAATTTTGATTCTAATGATTTTCAAAATTATTGGACAAATCAAAGATAGTCATATAAATACTATATTGCCCTTTTCAGAGTATGGTTGGCATTAGATAGAAGTGAAAATTCTCCCCTTCATTTTGCAGTAAATTAAAATCAAAAAGGAAGTTTCATATTTAAATTGATAATGGAATATGCCTTTGTACATTGAGTAGCTTAGTAATTGTGAAGAAACTGCAGAGCATTATGTTTCATATAATAATAAAGAAAAAAAAACAATTCATAATAATTTACATCATTTCGAATCATAAGTCTTATTCAAAATACATGGATTCTATTTATATTTTGATGAATATCAGTATGTATATGATTTCCATTAATTTGAACTAATTGCTAAGTATGCATATCTTATTAAAATTTGTAGTCATTGATTAGCTTTCTTCTTTAAGGACTGTAACAAGCAGAAATCAATCAAAACTAAGTTAAATCAATCATTATCAAGATCGAAAATGTTCAATATCAAATTTTATTAATTTGCTTTAATATCACTGCAAAAATGAATCGGATAAAAGAATTATCTATACAAAATGTATTTTTAAGTTGATAAGGTCTAGAAAACCTATGATTGAGCATTCTCAAATATGAAAGCAAATACATGAGATTAAATTAAAGATATAAATTGTATTCATGATAAGACAAATGAAAATCATAAAATATTTTTCCAAAAATATAAATAACTGTACTTTTTGTATCGCGAAAGTGTAAAAAAATGAATAATGATAAAATAGAAGAAGTTATACGGAAAAGGCGACTAATTTTTGATCAGGCACTTCAAGAGATACGTCGTCCTAACAAGGAAGATATATTTGAGCACTTGTTGCTCATTGGAGTTCCGCCCGATGAAATAAGTCAGCCACGGTTTAAAATTTTATGTTTATTCCCGTATTATCCATTGAAGATAGAGCCGTCAGAGTATGAATCTATTATAGATTTTGCATTTCCAGCAGGTTTAAAAAAATGCGAACCATATTCACAGCATCATTCAGCAATAATCGATGAATTCGCTTTTGCTTTCAAGAAGGAAGGCAACCTACAATATGGGTTATGCGTACAGTTTAAAGTTCCATCAGATGTTGATCCTTTTTTTGTTTCTGAGACAAATAGATGCTATCCATTCTGCTTACTTATGATGACTCGAGATATGTCATTTACATCACATTTCAGATTCCTTACATGCCTCGTAAAAAATTTTATTGGTTGGGAGGCGATTTATCGAGAATTCGAGTTTATGAAAGACTTTACTCCATTCAAAGTTGAAATACAAGAAGGAGATGAACCCATTTTCTTAGAATCAATGGGCAGAGTCTCTTCCTTTGCAAGATACGGTAAAATGCACATAACAAAAGATTTTGCACGTGCTGCAACAGCTTACAGATCTATTATTCGCGGAAAACAGTACATTCAATGCAAATTTTCCGATTCTACAGAAATTTTTATTCCTCCAAACGTTGAACACGAATCCAGCGCATATCTACTCGGTTTGGCAGCTCTTGACTCGTTGTTTAGCCATTTATCCACCTACAATATCGTCAAACTCTTTACAGCCGTTGTTTTAGAACATATAATCATTGTAATTACAGATAAACCATCATTAGCATCGAATTGCATACTTGCACTTAGATCGTTAGTGCATCCCCTCAAGATATTATCGCCAATTTCCCCGATTTTACCAGCAAAACCGAAATACGAAGCAATTCTCGGTTGTCCGTCCCCGATTATATGCGGTGTACTTAAGAATCCCAACCTAGACCTCTCAGAAACATGCGATGAGAAGTGTATCGTTGATATTGACAATGGAAGTGTAATTGATGACGAACTTGACGTATTAGGACAAATTTTACCTAGAGCAGATGCGATAAAAGAAGATATAGAGCGTATTCTCGCTGCAAACCATAATCTAATTGAAGTTCCTCCGCGTCATATTTATAGTAACGGAAAAAACATCAGAAATCCCGACTGGGGAAGTTTCTATGCCGCTGACAACCATGTTTCCATGCCTTTGCACTACATGAGTTCGATAAATCCGAAATACATTTTCACAGCGACCGTTGTAGGCAAAATCATGAAAGTTTTCCAGAGAAGATTCATTAAGGAACTTTACGAGAACATGGAAATGTGTTTTGTGACCGAAACAACTGATTCTTTGAAACCTGTCATCATATTCAACCAAGAAATCTTCAAAGGACAGCCATACGCTAAGACAAATGATAAGTTCATCAAGAGATTCATGCAGACATCTATTTTTGATGAATATGTACAAAGAAAACTTGATTATTTGACAATTCTCAAAACTGCTGTTATGAATGAGTCAAAATGCAGAGAAATGGAAGAGTTTTTGCGAGTTTATGATGAAATTACATCAATGCTCGATTAATATATTACTTTTCTTATATTATTTTTTATTTGTTATTTATTTTGATAAAGTTTATTGTTATTTTATTGTTTTATAACTATCTAATATCATGTTCAGTCTTAACAAAGCAAAATACAACTTTATTAAATGAGTAATTTTAATTTTCAATTATTATGATTCACATAGATTATATTCTAGATGCAATAGCCTAGAGTAGTTAAAATGAAGTAAAGATTAGGAAAGAATCAATCTTATCTTATTGAATCACTAAGATGTATGTAAAATTGATGATTGGTATTGCACTTTGCTGCATCTTCATGAAAACTTCGTGAATATAATATGTTCTTGAAATTTAACTCTATTTCTTTCATATGAAATCGTAAAATTTGATTTAAGATAAAAAGTGACAAAAATGGCTTCTGTTTCATTATTTCAGAGAGGATTTTACTTCAGAATCAGAAGAAGCCCGTTAAGAATATTAGGCGACGTGATTTCTATCATAGGTCTTATTATTTATTCGCAAATGCTCTATTTTTACTACAAACATCAAAATGCAAAAGAATTTAATCCTTATTTACTCTATGTATCGATTTTCATGCTTGTTTCATCAATTGCTCTCTATGCATTTATGTATTTTGATATGATTTTAAATAAAAAGCCAATCAAAGCGATTCCAATTGAACGTTGGTTCACAACTCGTCCATTTCATTGCATAATGATTATTGTTTTATTCATCATTTCATTCATTTTTGCTCAAATCGCAGCCTGGCCAATTTTTCACATTTATGGCGCTGTTTTTCTCATGTTATTGTTCGCATTCATTAGCCAATTGACTGATTACATACCATATTAAGCTATACTTCAGAATATATTGTAATATTCTTTGAAATATTTTTTGTTTGAATTATAAAATTACTTTTATAAAGAAACTATACACTCCCTATAATTTGATACTAATATATAATATGTAGTCGAAAAATTTTTAACTTTTTCCCTCATAACTATTTCTCAGATTTTGTGGTCAAAATGAAGATATGATATAATCGGATTTAAATATAATAGGTTTATTATATTCAAAATCTAATGACTTCTCTAATCAATAAGGAGTCATGATATTAATATTTTCATTAGCTCTTATATTTGATTAATAAGAACATTTTAAGTTTCTATATACTATATATGCAATTTGTCTTGTTATTATCGATTTTCACAATTCAAATATCTATTCATAAATTTAGATGCAAAAAATATGAATTATCAAAAAGCCATCAATGAACTGCTTTATGAATAGCTATTGCCATATCTGCATTTGTATTTTGGTATATTAATGAAACCTTCCATGATTTTTCTTCAATCTCAGAATTCCCTATTGCTATTGCATAATGAACTATAGTTATTCAATCAATATCTTTTGATTTGAACTACTCTCCAAGTGAAATGTGAGGTTTAGATATTCCTCAACATATGCTTGCGTATGTAGAATGAAACATAGTTCATAGATAGCTATCATGTATTCACCTTTTTTATAGCATAAAACATATAGACAATTAACATCTGATGCAAAATGAAGTGCTGTCTTTCCATTATTAACTTTTGCTTCAATATGTATATAATGCTGTATATTAATGTTCGAATGTTAATTATTGTAAATATGATATATATATATATGTCTTAAAAATGCAAACGACAAGAAATATAATTTTTATCTTTTGATCATCAACATAATAGAAATGTAATACTTGCCAGAAAGAAAATTCATGGATGGACATAATGAACAAATTTTATTTTCTTTCTTTGGAACAAATAATAATACTATTTCATGAATCCCTTCACATGGACGTAATCCAATGAATGTCAGATTATTCATAAATGAATATTCCCCTCTCTCCGATGTATCAACATTTCCAGTATCTGAGTAAGAATCAATACTACATCGATGTATATAAATCTTTCCTCTAGTTCCTTGAAATAATTTTCCTTTGTTAATCTGAGGATCGTTTTGGAAAGATGAATCGAAAATATCAAGTCTATTACCAATAACAAAAACTATTCCCCAATCTTTAGTACCTTGAGAATTATTTATATAATTACATTGATCAATTCTTCCTTGGCAATTCCAATACGTTGTAATCATTCCGTCAGTTGCGTTTAAATCCTCAAAATTACAAAATGAAGCATTTGTTGTTGATTCAACTCTATCATAATAAAAACCTGGATCTTGTTTTGAAATACAATTAGATAAGTTTGTTTTAGATAGTGATTCAAAACCATCTTTCTGGAAAATTATACATACTGCTGAACTCTTTCCCCCATTACAAATTGATCCTTGGAGGATTGAACTATTGATTTTGCCTTCTAAACATGTAAATTGGCCGGTATAAGGATTTTGGCTTTCAGATGAACAGAATTTGTCAATAATAACTGTAGTATTACTAGAACTTTTAATATATACTGTACCTGGACCTTGTGAAAAAATATTTTCCAATAGTAAAATCGAGTAGTCAGCTATATTTCTGAAATCGACTGCTCTATCTTGAAGATCAATGAACTTACAGATGTATGCAAAACATCGATTCTCGGTCGATATGACTTGTTTGTTTTCACCTGTAATGACTGAAGAAGGAGGACTGATTCCCTCATAATAAAGATACCAAATACTATTTGAAACTTCTTCACGATGAATATGTTTCCTCAAAAGTATTAATTTAAACTTCGCAATGAATTAAAAGATCTCATTAATTAAATTTAAAAAGGCAGGATGTAACACTTTTTTTCGTATCTAAGAGCTTTTAAGGTGCCCTTATCCGTATCTTTAATTCAAATTTTGGACAGCGGGCGTGAAGCATAATTGAAAATTAACCTTAAACAACAGAATTGAAGTCGGTTTCATACGGGCGTAAATGCACACCTAATATGATCAGATCATAAAAGAGTCGTGCAGTCCCTTACATCATAGTCCTATTAGCACATTAAATAATTTTATTAAATTTTATATAAAAATCAATGATTATTTTGGAATGTAAAATTTTTTTCTTTTATTTACAAACAACAACAGTAACATTATGACTGTAATGAATTAAATATAAATAATAAATTATTCAAATCAAGAAAAAATTGAATAATTTTTTGAAATTTTCTTAAATTTATCGAAGTCTTCTGCAAGAATCAGATCTAAGGAGTCTAAAAGTTGTTTCTTTGTTCAATTCTGTGCAATTAAATTTTTCAATTAAAATACACAAATTTCTTGCGTCATTTCCATCTGTGTGCTTCGCCTGCTTTATAAATCCATCAACTAAGATACAAATATTCTCTTTATTGATTGCAGAAACGTTTATTTCAGGATATTTAGCAGTCAAAAAATTCATTGCGTTTTTCTTGTAATTAAATGAGCGCTCGTTGATTTTCTGAAGAATATTGTTTGAAACATCAGAGAAATGGTCAGATAAACATGAAATATTTCCAGCAATCGACAAAGTAGTAAATCCAATCTGCAAAACGTCCAAATTATTTGGATAATGATCAATAATATTGGAAATTCTCTGTAACTCGTTATTATGCTTCTGACAAATTGAATTATCAACTGAAATTTTTCCAAATTCATAAATTTCAGAAAGAGTTGCTAATGTATATTGAACTATAGCTGTTGATTCTGATTTCAGTGTTCTTTCCATCAATGTTAATAAAGTATCTGTAAATGTTGAATTCCAAGCTGTTTCTATGAAGAATTGCTTGAATTCATTATTTTCAAAGTTCGATACTATATGTGTTAAGTCTGAAAAAAGAGTTTCATATGATTCTCTTCTGTAAATTGATTGTTTTAATTGGCTCATTAAAATTGTAATGTTATGTGCGAGATCTGTGTTAATTCCTGGGACTGCACTTCCTCTGGTTCCAGTTATGATTGCTGTTCCAACTGCTAAAATGACTCCAAAAGTATATAATAAAGCAAGATAGTTTTTATGCTGTTTCTTTGGTTCTTTTGATGTTTCTTCTTCATCTTCCTCTTCTTCTTGTTTTATTTTTTGTTGCTCATCCGCTTCTACAGTTCTTTTTGTTATTTCTTCTGCAGTCATCAAAAAAAAGTGTCTAAAGACTCCTTAGTGATAGAGGTTATTTCTATCTATTGTAAACTCAGTATCCTAATTCTACTTGAGCAGACTAATGATAGTATCAAATAAAGTAAACTTCTATGAGATTATATTTTTATTGAAGAATAATTAAATCATGCAATCATAAGCATCCTATGCATGTTGGTAATTTTTTGAATGTGTGATTCATTTGTTCAATGCATTAAGTATATCTACTTTAATTTCACAAAAAAGATATCTTGAATTACTTTAAGTTTGTGATAAATGAAGGTATATGGACTCATCTGTATTTGGTTATAATATTTTTCATGATATAAGAGATATAAGAGACATGTACACGTTACAAATTGAATGGAATTCGAATAATGTTAATATGATATAGCCTATTTTTAAAGCAAAAGAAAGCATATATGATATGAATACTCATTAGATTAGATATAAAATAAAATTTTTGAATAATATTTATTGCAAAACATTAAAAATCAAGCATAAATGTATTTGCTTTTTGGTAGAATATGAAGATATTAAATGAAAAGTTAATATTGAACATTTTATTCCATTTTAAGCTCCTTGAAGAGCATTGTAACAAAGATTAGAGATGAAAGGAAGCCAGAAGCTCCATTAATAAGGAAGATAATAATTCCTATAAGAAGGGAAACAAGTAAAAATGAAATAACAGCAATTTTTGTTGCTGGTTTGTAAAAAGTGAAGAGATAAATAATAGAATAAACAAAATAATAGGCTCCCGAATAAGCGGCAGTGTAAAATGAAATCCACCACCAATTATAATTTTCATGAGCCAAATAAAGATAAACAACTAAGATAGAAACCTCACATGCTGTTGCCACCATCGCAAGGAAGATGATAAACAAGAGCAAATACAATCTGTAAGGAGAATGAGAAATCCAAATTGAATCCATCAATGTATGAGCCTGGAACGCGAAGGATAAGAATGTTACGAGGCTTCCAATATACATTACCAAGTATCCGTTGAGATATTTCGGTTGGTAAGGAATTTGTCTTGGAAGTTGGTTAACTCGTGATGGGAACTCGTATTGGCGCATTCTAAGGCCATATACAAATCCAATTATGAATAATAATGCTGAAATTCCGCCATAAAATGCATATAATAAGATATATGGAATTAAATGCATTGTTATTGAGCTATCTAACTGTATCATGTTAATAACACCATGAATAACAAAGACTGGAAGGATAGCAACGATGGAAGACCTGAACATTGTATTTTTCCATGCTTTTGTGCCAATTGTATGGAAAAACGCACCGGAAATGATACCACTGAACAAGTTTGATATAATGAAGCAGTAAACAAAGGCTTTCATTAAAGAAATTTCTTTGATATAATCAAAAATTCCGAGAGCAAGCAAAAAAAGCAAAAGTCCGACCGCAAATAGTAAAGATAAGCCTCCAGACAAATATTCTGTAAGCCTCTCGATATCAATTGGACGACGGAAAACGTCTCCATGAACTAATTTCCATCCGCTTTCTTCTAGTGGATCATCTTCATCGTCAAGCATCTTTCTGTAACGTTTAAAGTCGAATTTGACGTTTCTTAGTAACAGAGCGCCCATAACAACCGCTTGAGCGATTATAATGACTAAAGTACTGAGAGCTGATAGCCAATGCATATTGGATGTGAATCCTGATGTAAGTTTGGCCCATCTGTTCTCGTATTGTGTCTTTGTTGTAAAGAAATGAACAGAATAAGTGAAATTAACGGATGTCATGTTTTCTATGCTTTCAGAGCCTTCTGAGGATAATATAATACCTGTTTCGAAGCCAACGATCTTGGTTTTACCATTGTCTAATGGTGATAATTCCACATTGAAATCGAAATGATTGTAAAGATAATGTTTGTTGTTAGAATCTTTGATACCAAGTGGTGCGCCAGCCAAATATGTAATTGATTCGTTGGTTTGGAACTCATCTCTGATAAGTAATTTATCTAGTTTGTAAAATAACCTGTATTTGTTATCAATGAGATTAATGAGAGCTTTCTTTTGGGCATCTGTGTATGTTTTGTTGCAAACTGGAATGTTTTCGATGTCTTTTCCGATTTCGAGTTCATAAGGTGTCTTTTTCTCGCCAATTTCGAGTAATTTTGTATTAAATAAGCGTGATGGTTCGGTTTTGTTATCAGCTTGGCATAACAAGTCAAGATAATTGTAATCATATGGATATGCAATTAAAGAACTTTTAATAGTTCCTGCATATATCGACAACTTTTCATTTTCTGAGTACAATTTCGCCTTTGGTGGTAGAATTGTAATCATTCTCATTGTCTGAACAATTTGGGATAACATTTTCTCTTCTTCTATTGGCGTGAAGCGCCGCTGAATTATATTTTTATCTTTGTTATTTGAAATTTTAGCCAAATTCTATTGAGAATCAAAATCTATTTCCAAAAGTGTATTTTTTAATGATGGAATTTTGATATATTTCATCCCGTTTGAAAGAATTATCAGATTTCTTGGCGTTTTCTAACTTCTAGAAGTTATTCATTATGCAAGAGAAAGTAGTAATAAACGAAAGGACTTCTTATTTCACATGGTGTAATTTTCAATGAAAGAGTTAAACATGAAAGAACAACTCTTCATTATGCAGCAGAAAGTACACTCTCTTAATTATCAGTACATAACAATCAAATCGACGATGTATGTCAATATCATATCATAAAATGAATATTTTATCAAAATAATGCAGTAAAATTGATGCAATTTACAGTATTTATATAAAATTGAAGCTTCTCATATCATGAGTTTAATAATAAACAATTAAAGGATTCCATAAGTTAACTGCAATTTTAACATATAACTTGTTTGAGCTTCGAATTTTTTTTTCATAAATATAAAAGTGACAGCTATTATTATAAATGGACCAAAATACTCTTTACTTGGCATGCACTTGCCTTGGCACCGTCATTTTCGGACTTGTTTTCCTTAACTACTACTTTGGCGCATTGGACGAGGAAAATGAAAAGAAAGCAAACAAAAAGAAAGAAAAATAAAAAATTAACAGCGGATACCTACCAATTAATGTAAAATTGCATGCGTTTAGGCATTAAAACATGATCTGTCACGTTTTAAAGAGAATAAATGAAAGCAGTACTATTATAACATATTTTTTTTAACATAATATAGAAACATCGAACAAATATTAGTAATTATAGAATATATTTATACAAGGATTGTAAAACACACTAAGAATATACTCTCTTACTTTCGATATTTCTGTTTTCATATCAATTAGATTAACCTTTGTATTTAATGAGATCATTAGCAATCTTTACTTCTTTTTATGAATATTTTGTGAGGATATCAGCTATTAATTGTATTTCATATAGAGAAATTTAACAAATTATTGAATCAATCAAAATAATTAAGGATATGATATAAGTGCAATGAAGAATGTTGATATGTACATTTTCAGAATGAATTCTTTCTGAGTTCATTTTGTTATTGCAAAAATTTTGATAAATGGGATATGAAATTGTAAAATTATTAAGAAACATAGTATAATAAAAGTATTTTTTGCATTTGGTAAGATACGAAAAATGTATCTAAAATGTTTTTGTTTTTATCTTTTGCTTCTAGCCTTGATTGGTGGGAATTTGAATTAGAGAAATTCGATGAGATGGTTGCCAATAGTACCTCTAGGCCTATATTTGCGTTGATGTATGCAGATTGGTGCCCAATGTGTCATGGAAAGAAAGAAGCCTTCAGAGAGTTTTACAACAAGCAAAAAAAGTCAACAAACATTACATTTACATTGATCAATTGTCTTGATAGAGGATGGTGCGCTACAAAAGGCGCGTTTTCGATTCCATATTGGTTTGTTATTAACGGTAACGATCCATTTAAGTGGGATCACACTAATTCACCAGATCCTAGAGAGTGGCAGCGCTTAGTTGATGAAGCTTCGCAAGGTCCAGTTATAGAAATTCAGTCTGGAGGACATGGAAACAGAATTGTCAACACAATGCATGGAGCATCATACTTCCATCTTGTTATACAGAAAGATCATCATGAAATTTTAGATAAATTCACTAAATTGGCCCAAATTTATTCCCAAATTGGCTGCAAATTCACAGTAAGATACAAACAAATGACCAAACCATCACTAAGAGTTTACAGATCCCCATTTTGCATGTACAAGATCAAAGGAGACATTGGAAACTTTGATTGGTTTATTACAACGAACAAATACTCATATTTACATTATTACAGCGCGAATGAAACAGCTCTAATGAATACTACAAAGCCAAGAGCCCTTTATTTCGTAGATCATTTAATTGTCCAAAATCAATTTAATTCTTTCGTAAATATCACACGAGATTACTGTGGAAAGATAGAATTCGGTCTAGGAAACTACATGACATCAGAATTACTGATAAAAGCCGGTCTTTCGGACAATGATATTCCTTTGATGTTAATTCACAGTAATTCTCAAAACTGCGACCTCTATTACAAGAGGTTACTTCTTGATGGCCAGAGATTGAGGTATTTCGACCATATAATCAACAACCAAACGTGTGAATCGTTCAAAGAAGGATATATTAAAAAGAGAGATCCAAGTAGAATTCTTTTCTATTTCATTGTGATAATAGGAACTGCAGCACTCGCTGCTTTGTTTGTCGAAGTCAGAAGACTCTTGATTAGTCTCAAAATGGAATAAAATGTTTTTTATATTTTTTTATAAATTTCAAACTTTTTTTTTAGAGTTTAACACCCATCTGACTTTTCATTCAAAATTCTGACAAATGACATTGAAACGTCATTTGAATTGAAGACCATGTCATACAGGAGTAAGTACACTATTAATTCTTTTTGTAGTTTCGCAAGAGCATGTTAGAAAGTGGTAAAGATCACCATTAATTCTTTTCGTAGTTTCGCAAGAGCATGTCAGAAAGTGGTAAAGTGTACCATTAATTCTTTTCGTAGTTTCGCAAGAGCATGTTAGAAAGTGGTAAAGATCACCATTAATTCTTTTCGTAGTTTCGCAAGAGCATATCAGAAAGTGGTAAATGCATCCTTAAGTAGTTTTCTTGAGAGAGAAAAATTGCGTGTCATATTGTCCGAGTACTTTATTATATTTGTATTTTGGTTGAAGACTAACTTAAATGTTTTTTATATAATATATCTATGATGTCACAACTTTCTCAATCAGGATATACTAAAAAAATTGAATGTGTGTAAATGTAGTGCATATTTCCGCATTAGATAATTATATCGTGATGCAAAAGTTTCTTTTTGATGTGTCAGTTATTTTTAGAGATGAAACACAACAGCTTTGACATGTATTAGTTCAATTCATATCTCAAATGATAAATAAAACTGTAAAAATTTTAAAAAAGACTAATTTTATATAAAAATTAAATATAACAAAAAAAATATGAAACAGATAAAACAATTAAGCAATGTCATTAGCTGCTTGAACCTTTCTCTTTCTTGAAAACATCCAAAGTTCAGTGAAATAGAAAATTACAATTTCAAAGATTCTCAAAGTAACGTTTTGAAGCTGCTTGCTATCAGATATTGGAGGAACAGTTCCATTCCATGAAATTCTCATTTCATTGACTCCATTTTGGTTATCAAACGCCAAAACGAGCATTTCAACGAATGAAGTAACTCCGCCGATATGAACATTTGTTAGTATGTCTCTGGCGGCCTCGCGAGTCATCAGTACGTAAGGACAAAGCGGATCTGACATTAATTCTGCATTTAGAAGGGAAAGTTGGAATTTATTAACTTTAATTAGTAGTTTTTCATACATTGTATGTGAAACGAATAAGTTATTTAAGTTTCTGTTTCCAATAACTAATGAAGCTGAATTAAACGATTTTAGATTGTCTAACTTCTGTTCTGCTGACTCAAGATCTTTAATATTAGATGCGCTGTATATATCTGTTATGAGAATGTTCAATCCATGAGCATTTAAAGCTGCAATAATTGGAGCATAAGAAGGATCAATTTTTGATGTTGGTTCGACGAATAATATGTTAGAAGATTTGGACACCAAGTCAAGAATGTATGTTTGGTTGTTAGGAAACTCAGAATTGGAATATATAATTATTTCCCACGTAAAATTTGGGTTTTTATTATGGCGTTCGTTTAAGCTATTAATGATTGTTTCCATAGTTTCCTTTATGTTCAGTATTTCTTCTTCAAAAAATATAATTATTGATAAAGCAATAGTTCCTGCTTCAAAAATGATTGGGTATTGATCTCCATCGCTTTTCCATTGACCTGTTTGAAGTGAGTAGGAAATCTTTTTTGGATTTGTTGAGGGAAACAATATTCGATCATAAATTGAAGTATTCGAAATATATCTATCGCAGTATAAGAATAACGTGGCTAATATTAACAGGAAAAGAAGAGTGTATTGAATTAGATTGTAAATAACATCATAATCCATTTATTTAATTTTTTTTTCAACAAAAAAAGAACGATTATTTTGTAAATTTGCACTAAACATTCATTCATATTTGTAGCAAATGAATGCACAGAAATAACATATATTTCGATGTGTGTCATCCTTGGGAACGTTGTCTGTACTCGTCTCCCTAAATGGGGCATTGTCCTGTATACACTATATGATTGGGGAAATTTGAGCGGTAAAGCACTATAATACTCTATTTTTGGTCACTATGTGTCATTTGCTTGGACATTGTCTGTAAAAGTCCCTTGAAATGACACACTATTCATAACATGATAGCGGAACTTTAAGCCACAAAAGAGGCATATACTCTCTTCTTTCTCTTGTGATGTCCTTCTTGGAATGTTTATTGTTCTAAATAATCACTATGATAAAATATCTATATAAACTTTCTATCATTCATTTTTTAGAGTTTAAATTTATTGACTCGTGTCGGATTTGCTTTTTAGACTTAATATTACTGTATTCATGCATAAGCAAGTCTCCACAACTCATATTTACTCATTTCATATTCGATATCCTGACAGATAAAAGAAGAAACTATAATTACATATTTTACCTCACAAAGTATCATTTTACCCAAATGTAAGTGTTCAAAACCTATTTTCTCCACAGAGAAAAATTTTAAAAAATAAGGAGTACATTCACATACTAACATCACATGTTGATGTGCAGTTCATAAAAATATTGTGATGATATAGAAATATGTTTGGGAGCGCAAAAATCTATGAAAAAAAAATCAATTTCTTTGATAAATCAATTGAGATTGAACAAATAGATTTTCCTCAACCTAACATGAGCTACTGCAAATATTATTATGGGGAATGAAGTACGATTATTTTTTCGATTGATAATCAAACAAGTTTATTTAAAAATAAGCATTTGATTATCTTTAGAATTGTCTTTGTAGTCTAATTTAATCTTGCAACATAATGCATATTGGGAAAATTTGATCGCATAATGTATAGAGTTATTATTTCTAAATTTGTAGGATGAATTCCATGTTTCAGACTGCCAAATGTCTTAAATGACTTGAGATTGTACGCATTATTTGGACTGTAAAAAGATATCGATGGGTTTTTGAAATGAAAATATATGGCAAATATTAATGATGTTCTATAAATTCGTGACATAGGGTATTATTTTAGTAATTTCACATGATTAATCAAAGCTATATCGATGATCAATGAAAAATTGAATAATGGCAAGAATTAAACAATGAAAATATTTGTCCATTTTGTTTTCAAATAGCAGAAATGCTTGAAATGGAAATGAAGTGTGCTTTGATTTCGTGGAAATTTAATTTTGCGGTAAAAAGGAGTTTTTTTGAATAAAATTATGAGAATATGTGTTAATATGTAGTGATGATTATATTGCAATTAAATTGGATTTAAAAATAGAACTTTTTGAGGTTTTGATTGATCGAGAAATGAGATTAGTGTGATTTTAAGAGTAGACATACATCAAATAAACTTATTGTTTCATTATGGAAATTCTTGATAAGTGATGTGATGATTTTATTTGTTTTATGATAAAGTGTAATTAATTCGACCATTTATCAATATGTTCAGTATAAATCCACTTTAATAGCTTTAATAAGAGTATCTTTTCAAATTGAAAACTTTATCAATCCCGACCAACTTACATCATAATAAATATATCATAGAGTATATATAAATTTATGCATAAATATATAAAAATGCTATAACCCACATGTCTCTTCAATATAAAATGAATTCCACTAAATGAAATGAATTTTATATACCAATATGAATGATTGGTATGGAATCGAATCTAAGAATTTAGTTGCAATGAACGTTGAAATGCTATCAAAACTCCTTCTCAAAAAATCTAGTTCTGATTGGGTGAATTATGACAATATAATATTCTTTATGTTTTTTAAATAAAATAATTTTGAATATTTCACAATCGGTTTAATTCAATTATGTATACTTCGTGAACTATAATTAAAATGTTATTATATATAGAGTATAGATCATTATTTATTTTATTTATCAAACCATGATAAATTTAAAATTTTGAAATTATGCTTTATATCAAAAACTAATATCTTTTAATCGATACACTATCAAAACGATTTTCAATACTAATCAATTATTCAAAATAAAAGCTAAATATCTCTTCATTTTTATTAATGTTTGGACTTCTTGGACTCTCAAGACTTTCCTTATCTGATGCACCAAATATTGAAGGATGCACAATCTATAACCCAATAGTGTTCAAATGGCTTAGTCCAGAAAACAAGTTTGATGGCAAAACCTCACAATGCTTCCAAACAACATCATCAACACTCATTCTTGGTGAAAATATTAAAGTCCAAGGTTACTTTTATAACTCTAACACTAAGGCATACACCGAGATTACTGAAGAATCTAAGTCAATTGGTGTTTCCATCCAATGCACTAATTTTCATTTGGATGATATTTGCGTTTCTTCAAATTATACTGCTTTCTTCAAGGTTACAAATGAGAATGATAACGCTCAGCCTGTCTACTTCTACCCCATTAAGACATCCTTTGAAGGTGATAACGAAACAACAACCCACTATTACACAACAATCAAGAAGTTCAAGCTCCCACTTGCCATCTCCTCAGAATACACCCTTAATGCTGATGGAGTACTAACAAAGTCAGATGTTCGCGATCTTACCATCATGATTCCAAAGGATAAAGAATACACAGTTGAATGGTCAGGAAACAACGGAAAGATTAAGTTCCCATTCCTTGGTGATATCTCTATCAAAGAATATGATACAGAAGAAGGTTCTGAGAAATATAGCAACGGCCCACATCGTGTTTTAGTTACAGGCGAAAAAAAGAAGGGTGAAACCGTTAAGTACAAAGCCAGCCTTAAGTTCACATCTGGCGCTCCAGACAACTTCCCATTATTCGTTGGTTATGTTCCAAACGAAAACAAGATCTTAACACAGTACAACATCAAGCTTGTTGGTGGCCTTCCAGTTTGGGCTTGGGTTCTTATTGCCATCGGCATCGTTCTTGTCATTGTCATCATCATCATCGCAATTTGCTGCTGCTGCAAGAAGTGCTGCTGCTCAGACAAGGTATAAATAAAGTAAAAGATCTTTTTTTATGTAATTTTCACAGTTTTTTTTATACAATCAGATTTTACATTTTTGTATAAAATCAACGATACGGGAGGTTTGGTCAAAAAGTTCTGCCAGTAAAAGTGACATTTGATTTTTCAATTTTTTTTTATTCTGATCAATGAATCAATATTTCATGCTACAATTCCAAATTCCAAGGAAGACTCATCCTAAAGTCAAGTTCACAGTCGAAGATGATGCTAAACTTAAATCTTTGGTCGAAGAATTCGGCGAAACTGACTGGAATTTGATTTCACAAAAAATGCAAACAAGAAACCCTCGCCAATGCCGTGAGAGATGGGAAAACTATCTTTCTCCTAAAGTTAATCATGATCCATTCACTCCTCAGGAAGATCTTAAACTCTTCAATTTATACGAGGAACTTGGTCCTAAATGGGTTGCGATATCCAAGCGCTTCAACAATAGAACAGATATCAGTGTAAAAAGCAGATGGATGGTTCTCAAACGTCGAAATATTACGAAAGAATCTGTAATGCTCCAACTTAAGAATCAAGCTCCAGAAAACGATGACCATGAAGAAAGATCTAATAACGTTGACAAGATAATACAGAGATTAGCTGACATTGCCGAATATTCTGACAATGATTGGTCTTGCTTCGATATAGAGCCTGTTTATACCATGTTTTAAATGCAATACTATAATTCACCAACTTTCTATGGTTATTATTTACTAAAAAAACTTCTATCACTTATATCAAAAATTTTTAAATTATTTACTGTTTTTCTCACAACAGATATATTAGAAATTTGTATTCAAACGTACTTGACCGAATTAAGGGTAAAGTAAATCAAGAAAATTCGTCAAAGGTGAAAATATAATCATAAATTCACTAAATAAATAGTAATTTGTCATTTATCATATGATGAATCTTCTAGAAATTGCCTAGTAAAATAAGTTTTCATGTAAGAATGACTGAAAATAGATAAAAAAATCTCGGTATATATAATTCTAATAAAAGAACAATTTTTAATCAGCTTGTATGTAACCAAAGTTAAGATCTTGTAAAAGGCATTTCAGTAAGCAATATTCTTTGAGTGAAATTGGAAAATGTATTCCATTATGTTTCATTTTGGAGCTTTATTGATTGAAAGCTGTTATTTCAAAGCTATGGTACTAATCCATCTTCATATGTATTTCCAAACTTTTTTCGATTTGATGAAATACATAGTATCTTTCTGTAAATTTAATTTCATTTTAGACGTTTTAAAATTTTTTTGGAAATAAAAAATAAAAAAAATATATTATTTTAAATTTATCTGATCAAATATTTAAATTTATAAGATTTTAAAATGATAATATAGTTTTATTATTAATATTAAAACAAATCAACTTTGAATTTTTCCTTTTCCATCTAAAATAAGTATTATTTTTTTTGATGTTATCAATTAAATGAATTAGATATCTTTGGAATTCATATAACATATAATAACTCTATCAACACTTTATGATTTTAAACAATACAATAAGTCTATTGCTTTATTTTGAATAAAGAAAGTAAATTAACAAGACTAAATTAACAATATAACAGATTTTATTAATAAACAAACAAGATTATTCCACAATAACAAGAGATTTCTCTATTTTACCGACTCTACCGGAAGTATTTTGACAAATATAACAGTTATTGTCTTCAGATTCAATAACTAAAAACTCTCCCGGGAATACTCCTAGCCACTCTCCATTATAGGAGGAGCATTTCAAAGATAGCGCTGTTCTTTGTATATTAATTTTAATACAACGCGAAGGAATGTATCCTTGAGGGAATTCCTTGTTAGTAGAAGCAAGAGTCCACATATCATTGGGCGGTTCATATATGTAAATCGTCTGTCCGACCCTGCAAGAAATTTCATTTTCATTTACTCCGTCAAAATCCAAAATTGCTTCAGCAGTGAATATTGGAGGCTCATAAAATTGTCCTGGGATGTATGGTGGAACAACATAAGCTCCAATTTCTTTGGATTTGAACGTATATTGTTCATATGATTCACTTCCAACGGATGTTCTCATTATTTTATGAGAAATTGCGTAATTTATAAGATCACTGACAGAAGCATCCTCAGATTGTTTCGATGTATTGAGTTTATGGATCTCTTTGTAGCGATCATTGTAAACTTGGCTTGAATTGATACAGTAATCGGATATAAGGTCTATAAAATCAATAACTGTATTGGTTCGAGCACTGTTTGATGCTTTCATCAATTCATAAGAGCCTTGAATTGTTTTATTGAACTTTAGATATGCAATATTGATCTTTTTAGATAGATATTTTTGTTTCTTGATTAAATTGGAAATTCTCACTGCATAAGTATGTTTCTTAATGAGATTTTTCTTTGACTTTAGCTTTTTGATCTGAATGTTAAGATTATTTTCGTTTTCTTCGATCTCAGAATATATATTCTTCCAGTTTTTGTAAGTTTCATTTACGTTATTCGAGATATTATTCACATTTGTCGTAGATGAAATTAATTGGCCTCGAAAATTAGGCAAAAATGATTCCTCGACAATTTGAACAAGACCAAGTAATTGACAGCATGTTTCGCTTATCATTGTATTCAAATATTGAATCTGTTTCTCAAGATTTCCAGGATATCCGGGAGCCAACATGATTTTAGCAATTAAAGACTTTCTGTACTTTTCAAAGTTTGAGCGCATTATTATTGGTCCTTCTAACCCGAATTTCTTCAAGATAAGACAAAAATTGCCAATATAATTTGGAAGTTGCCTGTGATAATCGAGAAGAGCAGACTCCAGGGAATATACTCGGTCAAAATCTTCTTTTAATGATTCGATATATTTCCCTTGCTCTATACAGATATTCATTACAAATCGACTTGTCACTTTTAATAAATTTTTATGTAAAACACGGGGATTTCGAAATCAGATGACATTTATATTCGAACAATTGTTTTTCTTAAAGTCAAACAAATCTATTTGCATTGAAATTTCGCCGCAAAATAAAACAATTGCGATTATTTTTTTTACACTTGACAGTGAAAAACGAAAATTATTGGTCATTCACAATGTCCACATCAATACAATCATGATTACATAACTAAAATACTATCTTAATCGTAATTGTTAAAAATTTGAATTCATATGAATTCTCTATTTTTTGAAGATATCCAAACTATAACCCAATATGACATTTTGTATTTTTAGTCATAATGATTCAAGATAATTTAAATTATCTTAGATTTCATCTCTTAGATAATATTATGACTAAATTTATGTTTCCAATTTTAATTTTATACTAGTTAAATGAATGACAATGCAACAAATACAATTACAAACATATATTTTATCAATAAATATGTAAATGTATACATTTTGAAAGAGAAAAGATCGACACTAACTCGAATTATTATGCTTTACCAGAGGAACATATGATGAGTGCTCAATTCTTGAATTAATGATTGAAGTTAATATCCTTCGAATAAACCCATGATGGCGGCAAATCCAACAAATGTTTGACTTCAAATAACAACCATAAGTGATATTCTCTAAAGTCAAAAATCTGCCAACAGATTTTTCTCCCCTAAAAAAAAATGAATTCAGCTGAAAATAACGAAAACAATGAAACACCTACTGAAGAAAAACCAAAATCAACAATTTTAAACAAAGTTCAAGAGGTGGCAAATAGTGCAAACCTAAAAATAGAATCAATTTACGAATTTTGCGATAATATTTATTTAAAAGTTAGTCCAATTTACATATATTTACTCGGAACAGTTTTATCAGGATTAATTTCATATTTACTACATTATAATATGTTCGGAAATCAAGAAGAAATAGAAACTCAATGGAAATTCGCTTTTTTGCTTACTTGCGTATTCTTTACTAGCATATTTTATATGACAGATGATTTCCTTGTTTCTCTCGTTATTTCAATTGTCAGTTCCTTTGATATTAAATTATCTCACCCTACATCACTTGCACAGTGGCCAATGAATCTTGTTTCCATAGTTTGCATCACTTTCATCTCAAAACTTACCAAAAATTCCAATCCTTTCGTATTAATTGTGCTTCTTATCATGCCAATTTCATATTTCATCTTGAATAGAAGTTTAGAAGGCTATTCTTACTTGTTACCATTCGGGTATGCTGGAATGATGCTTTGCAGATACTTATTTAGACATATTTTGGAAATAAACTGCAAATACTTCATGAAAGGATTTATGACATTATTCGCATATCTTTTAATACTTTTAGCTACCAATCTCTTTATTTTCATCGCTCAAACTGGTCAATCTCCTGAATCAGCTTCACCTGGCAATCTCTCGATAGAATTAGGTACCAGAAACAAAGGTTTAATCATAGGAATGCTTATTTCATTTGTTATTTCTGGAATTTACATAAGAAATAGCTTTTTATGGTTAATTATCGTTTGTGCCTATGTTTCACGCGATTATGATGGCGATAATTTGGCTTTTAACACTATTAATGAGATAGAAATCGCTCTTTTCTTCGCAGTTGCGAAATCAATTTCAAGAATTAAAATTAACTGGCTTGCAAAGATTTTTGCACTGTCCGTACTATTTTACTTCTCAATTTACTCATTTTGGGATCCGGAAGCCTTCAGATTTTGATTAAATTTTGTTTCAATTTTTGTAAAAATTTTTTACTGTTATTTTTTAAAGATTTTTCCTGTACACTCCTATCCTTATACAGAAAACCGAAACTTTTGCCAAGTTTATGCATAAATTTAGAACTTTGGTCTAATGAAATTCGGAAATATCAGGACATAGAAAGCAAAATATTTCCGGTTTTAAACATGTTACAGATAACATGATATATCGAATCAAAATCAATTCAAATTCAGTATTTTACTAATTTATCCGCAATTTTTTTCAAATCTATTCAAAAATTGATATCGGACGGGGAATAATTTAAATAGACCAAAATTTTTTTTCTAGAAATATGAATACGGATCTTGTAGCCCCTCCTGAATTTAAAGTTATCGTATTAGGTGATTCCGCAGTAGGGAAATCAAGTATAGTATTACAAATCAGCCAAGAAACGTTTGATTATCAAATGGATACTACAATTGGTGCAAGCCACGTTCAGAAAAGGATGGAAACACCAAGAGGTCCAATAATTTTGAATATATGGGATACAGCAGGACAAGAAAGATACAGAAGTCTTATCCCTATTTATCTACGAGCTGCACAAGCAGCATTAATATGTTATGATGTAACGAATAGACAGAGCTTTCTTTCATTAGAGCATTGGATAGAAGATGTACAAAAGATCTGTCCATCAGACATTCATATATATATAGTTGGAAACAAATGCGATCTTGAAGATGTGGTGCCGATTGTTGAAGCTGAAGATTTTGCAGCTTCCAGGAAGTATCCATTCTTTAGGACATCTGCGAAATTAGGAAAAAACATTACAGAACTTTTTAATACACTTTCCTCTGATTTACTTGGAGGAGACGAGATGCATCAGATTGTTATCAATATTACAGAAGATAAGAAAGAAACGTCACAAAAGAAATGCTGTTAAATTGTTATTTATATACTCTATCTAATCGGAATTCTTTTTTTACTATTTTAACAATCCTACTACTACATCATAATGATATATGTTACTAAGGTACTCTGAAAAAGATATTGACTGCATTTTATATCTTTCATATTTTTCTTGAGTTTAATCAGATCTAATTTCAGTTCTTCTTTAGGAGTGAAGTTGTTTTATTAATATTTAGAACAATCATTTCGCTTTCGATAAATTCTGAAATTGAAATGAAAAGAAAATATTCATAAAATATAAAAGTATATTTCAAGACGAATTGTAACAAGTATCAATTTTAAAGTTATTTGAAAAAATTGAATCGGAAAATTTCTGATTTTAGGATAATTTATGAAATTTATTTGGAACTACTGACCTTATCAGATGCACACGCAATATTCGCATCAAAAAATCCAATTCATGCAAAATCTAGCATAAAATTTCAATTCAGAAGGAATTTTTAAACGTATGTTACGTTTAAAATTCTTCAAAATGTTTGATTCTTCCTCAGATACAGAGCATGAAGTAACAGCTTCTAGTCAATTAGACACTACAACTGATTCACAATTACTTGTTGAATCAAGAAATGAACAATTACAAGAAGAACTCGCATCATTAACGAAACAATATAACAGCTTACAAGCTCAGTTCGAGCAAGCTGTCAAGTTAACACAAAGTGTTGATACAATACATAAAGAAAACGAAGGACTTAAAGTTCAAATCCGTGAATTGACAAATGAGAAACAAGATCTTTTGCATCGCCTTGAAATAGCAAAATTGGCTCATGAAGAAGTATTAAAGAAGTTCCAATCTGCATCAGAAGAGAATGCAACTCAGAGAGATCACGATATCTCTGGAATGCAGAAAGAATTTGAAAAAGTCAAGCAAACATTCCGTGCACAGATTGACTCCCTATATGCCCAACTTCAGTCTGTACAACAGTCTAAGGAAAAGGAAGAAGTTGCTCAAAAGACATTGATTTCTAAGATTCAAAAGTTGATTGATAATTCCGGCATTTATTTCTCAACCAAGTTTGAATCATTTGAAGAACTCTGCAGCTTCTTTGAAACCAAAGCAATCAAAGGTCCATCTTCAGTTCCAAAAGCGAAAAATGCTGAAAAAGCTCAAACACCAGTCAACGTTATTGAAGAAAGATCTCCAGAATACGAAGCTAAGATCAAAGAGCTCAAAGTTCAACTCAAGAAACAGATCTCTGTTACAAAGGACCTTGAGGAGCAAATTAGAATCAATGCTCGCTCAACAACACAGCTTACAAATAAGCACAATGCTGAAGTTGAATCATTAAAGGCTAAGATTGCTCAGATTAATGAGGATAATGCCAATACAGTTAATGATTACAAGCGCAAGATTACAAATCTTGAGAACAAGATTGCAGCTGCAAAGGACAAGGATCAGAAGCCTGCTCAACCAGCTAAGCAAGCTTCAGATAAAGCAGTTCCAGCTCAAGAGAAACAACAGCCAGTTAAATCAAGGAATGTTCCTCAGCAAACTGAACAGCCAAAGGCTGCTCAACCAACAGTTCAAATTCCATCAATTTCTCAGAACGATTTAGATACAATTACCCAACAATACACAAACCGCATTTCTGAGTTGAATGAACAAATCCAAACATTGACAAAGAAGTATAACGACGCAATGGAAGTCAACAAGACATCAGAAGCTAAGTGCGGCCAACTTATTGTCACATTAGATAAGAATGCAAGCGAATACCAAGCCCTCAAGAGAGTTCATGAAGAAACTGTTTGCGAAATCGAAGCAATTAGAAAGGCTCTTCATAGCAGAGAGGCAGCTCCAGACAAGAAGGCCGAAAGAGAAAGAAGGAAAGAACAACAGAAGCAGAAAGCAACAATTATCTGCTTAGAGAAATCCGCTGAAGCTCTCAAGAAGCAAATCTTCGATATCCAATTCGATAAGGAAGAATACAACCGTAAACTTGCTGAAAAGGATGATAAAATCAGATCTCTTGAGAATGAAATCAAGGAACTTAGAAAGTCTCATGAAGATTTGAATGCAGACTTATCTTATGCAAACAACAAACTTGAGAACATCAAGATCCCAACAGAAAAGGAACTCCTTCCAACAGCTGTTTGGACAACAGGTGAATTCGAAAATCCATTGCAAGGACAAATCGAAAAGATCGCTGATACAGAAGCTTTATCACCAGCTGCTAAGATCCAGCACATCTACAGACAGATCAACAAATACTTCACAAAGAAGACAGAAGATTATAAGTCCGCTCTTGATGATGCATATGGTGATTTAGACAACATCAGATGCATCATGGGAGATTTCATTGTCTCATTAACAATTGCTTTGAATGACAATGCCATTACATTCGATGATTTCTTACAAAAGAACCTCAGTGAGAAAGTTGTTAAGGACATTTCAGCTCTCAGATCACAACTTGTCGATGAAAAGAGACGCGCTGAAGTCCTTCAAGCTGTTGTTGACAAGTTCAATGCAAGCTTTGGCAACTCACAAGGAGATGTTACAGATAAAATCCATTTAATCTGCGATAAAATGGAGAAGAAGAAAGAGATCATCGCCACAAGAACAGAGAAGTGCAAGGCATACAAGCAAGCACTTAACGATGCAGAGATGAAGATCACAGAAATGGAAAGAGACAACCAATTCAACCTTGAAACTAAAGATATGGAAATCAAGGACTTGACAGAAAAGAACAAATCTCTTACAGAACAACTCAAGCAGCTCAAGGCAGAGAACAAGCAATTAAAGGACACAACAACAGAACAACAAGAACAAATTGAATCCATCAAGCAAGAGCTTGAAGAGAACAAGGAAAGCCTTGAAGAAGAAAGGAAATGCCTCGAAGAAACAATTTCTAGGAAGCATGAAGAAGCAAACACTAACTTGCAATCAGAGTTATCTGCAGCTTCTGCAAATGTTGTTGAATTAACAGAACAATGCCAGCGCCTTAAGGAGGCCGTTACAATGCAGAAGGGAATCATTGCTGAAAGAGAAAAGGTAATTGAAGAACTTAAGGCTGATTTGGCAAAGACAACAGATTCATATGAAACACGCCATGAAATAGAGAAGAAGCAGATCATCGAATCATATGAAAAGGCAATCCAAGAAATCACAAAACAATGCGAAATGCACAGGAGCGATGTGGAAAAGCTCAGCGTTGCAATCGCACAGACTGAAAAGAAGCTCAAGGATGCCCAAGCATCAAGAATGAAGGCAAAGAGAATGAAAGTCAGAGCTGAAGCCGAAATCAAGTCTCTTGAGGAACAAATTTCTCGTGAAAAGAAGTTAACCGAGTCAGCAATCAAAAACGCTGCAATTGCCAATGAAGCAGATGCTTCTAATAAGATCAATGCTGTAAAAGCTAAAGCAGATGAGGAGAAGCGCAAGCTTATTGCTACAGCAGCACAAGAATTTTCTCAATTCTTCAATGCTGGAGAAGCAATTGACGAAAGAGCATTCAAGAATCTTATACAGAAGGCTAGAGACGAGATTTCTAGATTGACAAAGATGGATGCTGCAATCAGACGCCTTGTTGGTGCTACTGGAAATCAATCAACAGATGATGCAGTTGCTCAGATCTTAATCCACTAAGTTATTATTAGTATTACGTATTTGTATTATAATCTTAAAGCTTATTATTATATTTAGGTTATTTCATTCCAAGTTTTTTAATCTATTGAAAATTAAATATGATTTAAATTCATCAATTGAAAGGAGGAATCATCATTCTACATTGAGGTGGTTATAACCAAATACAAAAAACAAAATATAATAAAATTCAGAGTTTTTTTGATTTTTTTTTCAAAACGACAAAGACATACGAAAACTATGTCTCTTTCATCACCGATGCAGATTAATATTATTTTCATTTTCAGTAAAACCCTTTTATTAAAAAATGCTCAGAAGCGTAATAAGAAAAGCAAAAAAGTGCAAACCGCTGCTATTAAAAATCACATTGAATTTTTTGAATACTTAGCACAAGCTGAATCAAACATTTGATAAGAAAATTTCTTTTGCGGACAAAATCATATTTTTATTTTTGATAAACTATTATATTTTAGTAATATTTTTTTCAAGGGTCGGAAGTAACGTGCTTTTTGCACTTTACACACGTCTTTTGTATAATATTAACTGTACACCATATATACAACTATATTATTAAGTTTCAACAACTTTTGTGAATGGCTAAAAAAACAAAACTATCTAATGAAAACTATCGGTCCTTACGAGCCCCGCCGTTTCCTTGGAGCAGGGTCGTTCGGCGGTGTCTGGGAGTGCCAGAATAAGACAACTGGTGAATCCGTTGCTTGTAAGCTGATCGATTTAAATACGGCCTTATCTGATAAGGTTTATCCACATTTCCGCAATGAAATTTTAATTCATAGTAAAATCAACCATCCATCCGTCACGCAGCTCAAGGATGTTATTTTAGATAATGATAATGTTTACATCTTCCTTGAATTATGTGATGGTGGTGACATGAACGACATTGTACAAGAGTTTGGCGGCCTTTCGGAAGATGAAGCCGAGCACTACTTCCATCAGATAATGGAAGCTTTGTCCTATATTCATAAATTAGGCGTCGCTCATCGTGATGTGAAATTAGAGAATATCCTTGTTACTGCTGATGACGATGCTAAGCTTACAGATTTTGGTCTTTGCAAGCAGCAGCATGGTAATGATCCAATGCTTACAACTTGCGGAACTTTAGTTTATGCAGCTCCCGAAATTATTCAAGAGAAACCATACAACGGCATGAAAGCCGATATATGGTCTGCTGGTGTAGTTCTTTATGCCATGGTCGCTGCCCACTTCCCTTGGATTGTTCCAGATGATATGCCCCCTGAGAACATCATGAAAGAAACAGCAAGACAAATAGTTGAGGGTGATATAGCACTTCCTGATGGAATATCATACGAGCTTCAGAACTTGATGGCTAACTTACTTAACGTTGATCCAAACGAAAGACCGACAGCAGCAGAGGTCTTGGAGCACCCATGGTTCCAGAATGTCGTAGAAGATGAAGCAGTAGATCCAAAACCAAATACAGCAATCGTCAACTTAGTCGAATCGTTTTTGAGTGATCTTGATAGGCGCCGTAAGCTATCTTCATAAATTACCAGGTCAGTTGTTTTTTATATTCAAATGCAGTTATAAATTATTCTTATTTGACAATCAAAATTCTTTAATATTTCTTACAAAAAAAAAAACATAATTTCAAATTTCAATCGTTAAAAAACAAATTTAATAATTGGCACTATGAATTACTATAATTATAGGAAACAAATAATTATTTTTTTTATAATACATTCCTTATTGATTTTCACTTTATTGAATTAAAAGTCATAATTTGTTACGATATTGAGTATTTTTTGATAATGTATTGAATTTTATATAGTATGTAGATTATATTGTATCTTTCATATAGGTCAATATTCGATTGTTTTGTAATTTTTTGATGAAATTAATAAAAAAATTAATTGTTTTTGCAATACATAGCATTTAATTGCTATAAACATGAATGAATTATTGTTGTTCCTTGCTATTAGGTCAATCAAGACATTTATTTTTAATATAATTTATTATGCACATTTTTGTACTGTAATCAATATAGAATTCAATGTATTCAAGGGGTATAAGGACTAGATATCTAAAATGTTCTTAAAAATTCCATGTCTTATTTTAGTTTAGCTACCAAGAGGTAAAATCTTTCTTTGAAATGTGAACAGTCTTGTTCTAAGAAAAATTCCGTGCATGATATTTAAAAGTGGCAGTATATTTATGGAAGATCATGAAAAAGGAAGTTCATTTCAAATAAAATCCGTAAATTGTACATTAAATCTCAATTCTATTTTATAAATCAATTAGAAAATATTGTACACGAATCATTTTCGAATGAATTAATCAAATCTAATATTAAAACCTTTGAATTAACTATAATTTTGAAAAATCGTTCGGTTTTCTTTAGTTATGATATATTTATCTTTTCACACATTAATTTTAATTTGGTCGTAAAAATTTTGACAATTTTCTGACCGGTAAATATTTTATTATTTCTCATATCAAGCCTTATAATAAATTTAACCGAAATAAAAAAAACTGACAATATTTTTGAGAAATGAATATTTATGAGAATTACTCCAATTCATGCTGTATATCATAAATTTCTAATTATTTTGTTTTAAGTTTAAATTTTTCTTAAATCGATTATCTTCTGAATTTCAGTGAAACAACATTCAATATTTCAAAATACCAAAAATTGATAGCGGTTATGAAATTCATTATTCATACATTTCTCTCATTATATAAATATTAAATTTTGAATGAATCAATGAAAAAATTGTGACAAAATACGATCATTTAATTCAATACAAATCTCAGATATAACAATGATCGGGGAAGGAAGATATTTTGCTCTGAAATGCTATAAAAGTATTAGCGACGAAGAGCTGACTAAACGATTCTCCGCAATTACTCCCCTTACTTTTTGCAAGACTTTTGTATCTCAAACCTCATATCAACTAATTTTTTTAGTTTTCAACACATATGTCCCATTTAACATCATAAACAACACCGCATTAATGCATATTCATACGCATGTCGATGTGAAGCTAATAGAAGAAAGACCTGACATACAACCGGCAAATGAAATTTATTTATTCAATTTACCTGAAGCTGTCAACCATTCTCATTCAGTACAGTCATTAATAGGCATATTTGATGAAAAGGCACTGATCAAACATCCTCCAGGTCTCTTCGTTGTTTCTCCAAGTGATGAACAATCATCAATTTTGCTTCAGACAATATTACCGGAGATAGACTTTGGCAACGGAAGCCACTTGAACATGGTGGTCAATGACGCTTACAAAGTTCCCTACATTCTTATTCAGAACCTTCCGTTTGGAACAACAAAAGAAAAATTATATCAATTTTTCGAAGCAAACAATTTCGATGTGAATTTCTTGGAACTTATTCCAAACACAAAACTAAACAACATGACCGCAGAAGTTATCCTACCTTCCACACAAATTGTTGATGATTTTACTTCAAAGATGAATTATACTCAATTTGAGAGCAATACTATATTTATCAGACACTACTTATCGCCAAAACAACTAGAAGAAATGAAAAAGTGGCGAATTAAGGCTCTTGGAATTAAGAGAAATATGAGCCTTAAAAATATTTGCGAAATATTTACGAAATACGGCGAAATATTTTCAATTACAATCCGAGACTCAACGGGCGTAATAGAATTCAGAGATTTAGAGTCTGCGGAGAAAGCAATATCAGATCCCCCGAAAGGCTTTAATTTATCCTATCTAGTGATGGAAAATGCAAAGATGATATGTCTCAACATGCCATTGAATACCACTCAGGAGTCTGTTTCGAAGGTTTTCCCAAACGCGATCGGAATCAAAATCATTTCATCAAAATACGACGGCGTTCGTCCAGTTATTCACGTTGTATTCAAGAGCAAAGATGAGATACGGACTGCGATCGAAACAGGAAACAAAATTTCGATGGACGGAATGAGACTGATTTGCCTCAAATTTAATGAATTCCACTCTAAGATAGGAGAAATCCAAGCTTCAATGACACGAAAGAACTCGGTTTTCGCGATCAACCTTCCAGAGCATTTCGTAGCCGAAAACATTGTTGAAAATCTGAAACAGTTCGGCGATATATTGTATATAAAGTATTCGTCAGCCAATGGCTCAAAACAGGGTTTTGCTGGTGTTCTCTTTGCTGAAGAAACGTCGATACCCAAAGTTTTATCTGCCTCTAACGAGGTTAGAGGTATCTCTATCAAACAATTTTGTCCTAAATAAATATGCTATTTCTTTCAATTATAATTTTGCAATTTAATTTTTTGCCATAAACTCATTATTCTTTGATATTTATGTGAGTATCAACTATAAAATATCTATTGTTCCCCCGAAACACGTCATAAAGCCATAAGATGAAAACGATGGATTCAAACAAAAACATTTTAGAATAGTTTTGAATATTTTTGATCTGCAAATTATATTTACTATTGAAATGTTGAAATAAGGAGTGTCAAAACCTAAAATATAGAGAATTGTTTTTGAGGATAACAATAAAATCAGATTTTTCCAACATAAATCTATTTATTAAGTATTGTATATTGATTTTTATGCACTAATTTCTCTTAATAATATATTATTAAGTGTTTGACAATTACTCATTGCACATTATGATACTATTTCACTCTCATTAACTAGATGCATTTCGTAATTGTTTATTAATGAGTCTATTAAGGGTGCACCCGCATGTACGTTTATTTGAGAGGAGGAGAATTACCCTCTCAATTTTGAAAGCTTCGTTAACTTAATATCTCGATGAATATTGGATTAAAATTGAATTTGCCCATACCAATATATCTGATACAATATCCTTAAGTTTTACTAAAAAGAATTTTTTAAAATCCCTGCAGATTCGGGGATTTTTAAATTTTTTGATTTTTTTCGAAAATTTTTCGGAAAAAAAAATATTTTCAGAAGAGCCTTAACGGCTAAGTTTTATGTTTAATGTTGAGTATCAAAAAGAATGGGCATCTGATATAGCCATCATATATCCCAGAAGCAAATAAAAATTCTGACTTTTTAAGCATAAAAAATGAAATTTTATTTTTTGCAAAAAACAGGCCACCCGGATGTACGTTTATTTCAGAGGAGGAGGATTAAATTTTTGAAAGCACTAAAATTTGTAAATATGCTAGTTATATAATAATATGCATTATTTTAAAAAATAAAAATTAAAGCACGTTAAAATCTTTTTTGATGAATTTTTACAAAAGCTACTCAGGATAATGCAAGATATGAGTAGTTAAACATAAATTTCAAATCAGATTTTACTTATAATAAATATTTTAAATTTCCGAAAATTAAGTTCAGATCGACTCTATACGTAGTAAATACTAAATAAGGTGCCAAAAACATATTAAACAGTATCAAAACTATCAAGATTGTAATGTTTTTGAAGAAAAATTTATAGAATTATGAACTTCAAACAGATATTATGTAAATAAAAATAATATAATGAATTTATTTATTCGTATAATAGCAGTAATAAGTCGATTATTCACTTCTACTTCTGAGATTTGAATTTAATTTCGACAGAAAAAGAGATTCAAGAGGAAAATACTAGGGGATACAAACAGCCACCATGACAGGATTATTATGGAGCCAAGTTGTATTTTTTGATATTTTTAGAGTTTTCCTACCTATTTAGGTACCAAGTTATTGCTTAAAAATTAAGGTTCTAAATTCTGAAGTTTACATGATCCTCCCGGGCGCACCCTTAATTCTCTATTCTCTTTTTTAAGTTTTTCAATTTCAAAATTTTGACTTTTGTACTTCCATTCATTTGAGTCATTTGACTTTTCTAATCCGTATATTTTGCTATTTAATGCCGATTTTTCTGATTTAAGATTTTTGATTTCGTCAGTTTGTGATATGTTTTGCTTCTTTAATTTATCATTTTCATCCTTTAATGTGGTGTTTTCCCTTTTTAATCTTGTCAATTCATCATTTTGGCTTGAGTTATTATTCTTAAGCTGTGAGTTTTCTCGCCTCAATTGTGCGAGTTCGTCATTAATTGTTGATTTGTTTTGGCTCAAATCTCTAATTTTGGTTTCTAATTCGTTGATTTTATTGTGACTTTCTTTAATGTTTTCTTGAAATGTTTTGAACTTTGATATGATATATGATTGAATGTTATTCTTAGTTAATTGATTATTAACTGTTGATAATATTTTGATTGATTCAATAACATCTTTAACATCAATATATTCATCATTAAGATATGATAAAATGTCAAAGAATGATTGATCTTTGTTGAATAATGAAAATATTAAATCATTTGAATTGATATTTTGCTGTTTGAAATGAACTAATAATTGTATAGCAAAATCAATACCTGCTTCAACAATTGAATCAATAAGTTTATCATGAGGGATTGAATCAATATTATTGATTATGAAGCAGAATATCTTATTATTATATCCAGATTCTTTACAATATTTGATCTTTCTAATTATGTTTTCGAAGTTGTAGTCATCATCATTGAATCTCTTCATATACAATGAAATCAAATATTTACTTTCCATTACATTTCCAAGTGCATGAAAGTCATAGAAAACACTATCTTCGACATTCTCTGGAACTTGCAGCTTCAAAATACTTTCGAGAACTTTATATGTATCCGAGCCTTTTATTTCTGCTTTGAATCTAAATTCTTTGATAGATCGATTCAAATAATATTGATTTTTAATTTTATCCGACATTGCAGATCCAACATATATATTTGTATCGTATACATGGTTATTGATATATATCTTAATAGGTGGAGATTCGAATGAATCCAACGATTCAACTAGTTGAGCAAGGATGTCACACATCTTGAAAAATGAATTTTGGTGGTTTTTTATCAACAAAAAAAATTGATAGAACACACAATACGACTTTTTAATATTATTTTGCATTTATCATTTAAATAATTTTTTACAATTGTGATAAAATAACAAATCACAATTAATCACAAATTGACACTTTTTTGAATTGTCAAAAAATGGACGCAAATATAACAAATGATTCCTATCGCATTAATATCAGCAGCTTATCAATAACATCATTTATTGCAATGATAGTTTTGTAATAAACAGAAATTCATCAAAAGTGACAGCTCTCAATTTTTTGACATTTGTAAATTCTAAATTGAATGAGAAAAATGAAATAATACTAAGCATAATACAATATTCTAGATTTAATTATAATTAGGAAAAAGTTAGTTTTGAGAGTACTTTTCATAGGCATATAGAATGAAATCTTCTGAAAAATAATATCACATAAACTCATATTATTTTCTAATATATAACTATTTTATAAGGCAAGGCAAGTGGGGCTTCCAGGCGCGTTGCGCCCTCTAGCCCATAAAAAATTTCTGAGGACGAGCCAGCCGTTGACTTTTTTGTAGAGCACTCAAAATAGTATAACTTTGTCCGGACAAGTAAGGGTCTATCGTCGCTACAGGAAAAGTTACAGGCGTTCCAAGGAAGTATACTTTGAGAAGCCTTTTTCCCCTTATAGAATGAGATAAGACGGTTATTTTACAAAACTGACAACACTTTGACCGAGTAGTTTTTTGTGCTGAACAAAAAGTGTCATATAAACATCTGTCAAAAACCGCTTTTTAACTTCACTTAAAATGCCACGTAAGCTACGTAAGAATATACGTAAGAGGAAGGGAGCATTGAAACATCCAATAGTAAAACTGACACCACAACAACAGTTGCAACAACAAATGATGAATGACCCCACTATGTTGCAACAAATGTCAAGCAACCCTATGCTTTTAAATCGAGTTATTGGTGCACAGAGTGGAGGTTTAAGAGCGGAACTTTTAGCGAAAATGGCAGGCTATGGTGGAGCTGCAGACGGAACAGCTTATAACCCTCAAAGTCAAATGAATTTGAGTTCACTCAAAAATCAAATAACAGATGTCAAAAAGTCAAACATAGACATACAGAAACAAATAAGTGAAAACGAAAAGAAACTAGAATATGACAGACAGACAAAGAAACTAAATGAGTTAAACGTAGAGAAAAAGAAGAAAGAAGAACAACTGAAAGAACTAAGTACAGAGGAATATGCGAAAAAAGTGTCAGAAAAAGCAGCAGAAGTAGCAAAAATGGAACAAGATGTTATAAATTTGAAAAACCATACTACTCAATATAAAGTACTGAAAGATGAAGAGATAAAACAAAAAGCCATGAAGACATATATGGATAGCGATGAGTATAAAAAAGAAGTTGAAGCAAATGTAAAGGTAGAAAAACTTTTACAGTTGCAAAACCAAACCGTACAGTATGAAAACTTAGCACAAGAAAGTAAAAATAACGACGCAGCCATGCAAAAGGCAATGAAAAGCGCAGATATTATAAAAGCTAATAATGACTGGTTAGATGCCCAAGCCAACGCTAAAGCAGCCCAACTTATAGGGTCAATAAGGACAAAAATACAAGCGGATGAAGACAGTTCAAATGAAGCTTTAATGAATGCTGACTTTAAGAATGCCTTCGAAGCTCTTCATAGTAAGGTGAAACTAGTGAACGACTTCTCATCTGGAAAGAAACTGAAGTCTGAAGGTTTCGACAAAGAGTTAAGAGAAGTAGCACAAAATATGACGAAAATAACAGATGCAGCAACGAGACAGGCAGTTCAAAGTGCCTATGACGCCGTTAGAGCAGCTGTTGTGGAAAGTCAAGAAAAAGAGTTACAACAGACCAAAACAGACCTAGTAAATGCTTTCTTAAGAACGAAAAGTCAGGTAGGACATTATGCTGCAGATGGAACATATGTGCCAGCTGGTGGAACTTATATACCACCAAACCCTCCAAGAGAAGCACCTGCACCAGGACTACCTAAAACATTTACATCGTCACATGGACACAGACACAGGCATGCACCACAACAACAACCAACACAACAACCAACAGTTCAAAATCCAGCACAGCAACCAACAGTTCAAAATCCAGCACAGCAACCAACAGTTCAAAACCCTGCACAGCAACCACAAACAGAGCAAGGACATAAAAGAAGTAGAGAAAAAGGAAACCAAGAATTCTTAAAAATGCTTAAGGAAGATTATGGTTACCCAGATACTCTTGACTTTAGTGACAGATATAAAGAAGCAGTTAGTATATCTAAGTCGTGTACTGTGGCACTGCGCGCCTCCGTACACCACTTAGCTGTTTTGACACTTTACGAAACCGTTAACGTATATTTTACAACACAAACACAAACACCAACTTAACCTTAAATATTTATAAAGCCGCCAACCACTTCACCTCACTAATGAAAAAATAAACGTTTTCACAAACGACTTCATTAATGTAAAAATAAACGTTCTCACTTACAAAAGTATTGCAACTCCTCCCATTGCTGTGCTTCACATAACAACTCATAATCTTCTGACTCACTTTCTTCTTCATATAGGTCAAAGTCACTGTCAAAATAAATGTTAGTAAGTTTTGACAAAGCTAATGAAACACGTTTACCGTTTGTATCGTATGCTTGTATAAACTTTCCATTCTTCATTCCTTCATAAACGCTCAAACTAACTTTACCCTTTCTCCCTCGTATCTGATAGAATGTATTTTCACGAGGAACGAAGAACAAATTCTTGAACTCATGACTGTTGTAGTTTGTTATCTCAATAGTTTTCGTCATTTATATAAAATAAACTTAAAATTAATGATATCACCACCCTCACACGTATGAAAACATAGCGCAAAAATAAATTTAGGTAGAAGGGTAGATCTAACCTCATTTCTACCCTCATTTCTAACCTGTTGAATTCATTGCTTTATAACTCTCTTCCTTTCTCCAACTCTTTCTAACTTCTTCTTAAGTTCAGCAATGTTGTCCTCATGAAGTTTAATCTTTCTCAAAATTCCTTCTTTATCTAATGGTTGCTTTATCTTTCTAAACTGAACTCTACCATCCTTCATAGTATGAATGTAAAAACCTTCTGGAATAGTTCCTGATTTAATGTATTCTACCAAAAACTTTTGTTTCATTGCTTCAGTGACTTTAGTCGTCATTTTACTCTAAGGTGAAGCTAGCACAGCGATAATGGATTTCATGACTTTTTAGTATTTCATGCAATCTTAACAGATAGTCTTACAAGTACTTCCAGTGTCCCTAGCTGTCCCTCCTTTTTATATATAACTCCATGACATTTATAATCTCGCGAAACTTAACAGGTAGCATAACAGATTAAAATCAGATGAGGTTTTGAACCAAAATTCTAAGCACGTTGTCTAAGGATTTTGAGGAACTAGGGACAGAGTGTGGCAAAGTCCAAGATTTAATTTATCTTCATCTGTTTCATCAGCTATCTCATCTAATATGCCAATATTTTATTCATAACTCGTCGGCAAACTCACTAACTTTCGTTATGTTCATCTGCATGCTTCATCTGATAGAAAGTATGACTTTTATTAACTCTGTGAGATAATGAAAACTACTAGGGACAGAGACCATGGCCAAAGTTTATGACTTTCATTATTTCCAGAACTTAATGAAAACTACTAGGGACAGAGACCATGGCAAAGTTCATGATTTAATTTATTCTCTCACTAACAACAAACACAAACTCCAACACTAACATCAAGTACTAACTTCAGCACAAATGACAAACGCTAACAACAAACACAAACTCCAACACTAACATCAAGTACTAACTTCAGCACAAATGACAAACGCTAACAACAAACACAAACTCCAACACTAACGACAAAAATAAATGTCCTCACTTTCTTAACAAAGTAATATGTGCTTCTTACACCACCATAGCTCAAACGTTTCTTTTCAAACATCGATTGAAACTTATTTTGAGCCATTGGCTTTAGTCTCTTTTCTTCAAATACGCCAAGAAATCTTCTTCACATCTTTTCACTTTCATAGCCTTCTTTAAACTCCTCCTTGTTAAGTTCTATGAAATTCTTTATATCATTCTTTGTTGCAATGGCTTCTTCACGAACGACATCGTGAACTATTTCATCATTGCATTCATGTATGACCTCCTCACTGTTCTCATGAACTATTTCAACACTGTTCTCATGAACGACCTCCTTACTGTCTTTCATAAGCGTTTCAAAGTCTCCTTTACTCATTACTTCAATCTCATGCTGTTCACAGTAGTACTTAAACTCACTGTATATGTCTTTGTTGTATGTTATATTGCTTCCATGTACTCCATGAATTTTTCAAGCACTTCCTCATAATTCACTGTTTCTTTCTTTCCACGACCTTCTAATATCATACTTGCTTCGTAAATATAACTTCTTGCAGAACCGTCTCGCTTTCTACTTCTCTTCACAAATTCTCTCATCTTGCCGCAAATACATTTGAACTACATGCAAAGAATTCATTCTCCTTCGCAAATTCTTTATATCTTCTGTAGCACTCTGTACAATTCCATCCGGATACAAACTTTTCATAGAACTCCTCGTAAAACATTTGGTAAGGTGTTTTGTTCATTTCGATGAGTTCTTGTTTAGCCCTGGTGAATGGTATCTTCCTTACATCAAATTCACTTAAATCTTTCCTCATGAAGTACGTCAGTAAGTTTGAATAAAACTCTTCATTAAAGCTTTCAATGAGATTTGAGAAATATTCGTAATTTCCTTTGTATCTGCTGCTTACGTCAATGACAACAAATCTTCTGTCGTCTTTGTCAATCTTTACTGAGTTGAAGTTGTTAGATATCATGATGATATTACAAACATTCTCTATCTTTCTTACTGGCTGACACTTCTGATTTAAGTCCAACTGAGTCTCTGTTACTATTGACTTTAGTGCGTCGTGGTTCATGACCTTAGACGTATCGCATGAGCTTAGTTCATTGCATACGATGAGCTTCATGTTCTCAATAGCAGCATTGAATCTACCAACCACATTCTCTATTGCCGTTATATTATTGTTGGCGTACTTGCTAATGAGCTCGCATAGAACATTACTAAGTACATTCTTACCAGTTTTGCTTTCCTATTAACAAAAGTACTGTTCCAGTCTTTCCACAAGGATTTTGAACGATGTAGGCGAACCAGTTCAAAACATACTCATAAGCTCTTCATCCTCATTACATATGACATCGTGAACATGTTTCAAATATCCTTCAATAATGCTTTCATCTACTTCATTCAGTACCTCATACTCATATCCTCTGAAATAGCTGTAAATGTCATCTCTTTCGTCAAAGAATCTCATGCCTGACTTCATAAGATAGTTCTTGTTCTGACCCGCTTCATAAATCATCAGTGCGTTCACATCCTTCTCCTCAATACGTCCTACATAAACACTCTTCATGAGCTTATTGAATTCCTTGCTATCTATTGACAGTGTTGTTGTGTCTCGTATTCCATCATAATCTTTCACTAGATATGTCATACGTGCTCCGTCAATAACAACAACACATCTTCTTAAGTCATTTATAACACTAGCTATGTCAATACCTTCTTCACTCATGTACTTATTTCTCCTCAAGTCCTTTAGTGTGAAAGTGTCTCTAAGTTCTATTTCAAGCAATTCATTTACACATCCTTTGCAATACTTCTCTATAAAATATTTCTGTCGTTCTTTACTAAGTTTCTTAACAGCTCTGAAGAACCATGTGTTTTGACTCAAACATCCTTCACAACTTCTCTCATTCATTCCTAGTTCTTTCATGTCATTATCTTCAACCTCTATGGTCTCATTGACTAAGGTCAAAGGGTTCTTAGTCATTGCTGGTCTTATCTGAAACAATGTTTGTGCAACAGGTTTAACTAGTTCAGCAACGTCCTTCCTTAATATGAATAGCTGTTTCCACTCATCTTTGCTAACAGTTCTTTCATAACCACTGACAGTAATGATTTCATTTGCTGACCTTAGACACTTATGTTCTATCATTTGTATTGCTTTTGTGTAAGGCTTTCGTGAGCATAGGTTGTATATGTCATTCCTGCAATGTTCATTCATGCCAATAGTACTAAATCCTTTCTTTGCTGTTGAATGCATAATATCCATTAGTTCCTGTGTTCGTATTGCTGTCTCATAAAATACAACAAGACCTTTGTCATCTATGACGTACTTACCGAAAACATTGCTTATATTCTTTAACCATGAAATAACATCCTCATTCATGCTGTCAAACATGAAGTAAGGTCTTACATACTCTTCACTTATAAGATACTCCACAAAATACTTGTTAAGCTCTATGTCCTCGTGAGCGATTTCATTAGGTTTGATATTAGTTCCTTTTGTTATTGCTGTCATGTACTTCACTCTCATAGTTCCTTTCAATAGCGTAAAAGTACTTCATTGTTTCATAACTGCTCTAAATTCTGTTCAAAATTCGTACAACATAACTTTTAACATTAGTGAAAGAACATGAGCGAAACAACAACATCTAACATTACAGAAGAAGTCAATGACAATGCCGATGAAAACATTACAGAAGGAGCTAGTGAAAATATTGACGAGTTCAGTGAGGAAGAAGATATTGAGGACGTCAATGAGAACGTTAGTGGGGAACAAACTCAATGGGAAACATTGAGAAATCATGAAGATTATGAGATTTGTACGACATATCCTTTTACTATTCGTCGAAAGAAAAACAAACATATTAAGAGTGAATGCTTAAATAATCATGGTTATATTGAGCTTAGTTTAAACAACAAAACACATTTAAAACATAGAATTATTGCAGAACAGTGGATTGAAAATCCAAACAATTTGAAAGAAATAGACCATATAAATCATGATAGAACGGACAACAGAATCTCAAACCTTCGTTGGTGTTCTAAATCTGAAAACAATAGAAATAAAAGCAAGTATGGCGATATAGTTTATGAGTTCGTTGATGAAATATCTGACGAAGCTGTTGAAATAACAGATTATGGTAAGCATTCGTTTGAGTTCTACTACTATGTTGAGAATGAGGACGCATTCTATTATTATACAGGTCTTAACTATCGAAAACTTCATATAAACTTTACAAAAACAGGTGCTGCTTATGTTTGTATGATAGATACAGAAAACAAGAGAGTAATCTTATGCATAAACAAATTCAAACGCTTGTACGGCTTCATGTAGGACAAACATTATTTTTCAACACTAACGCCAACACGTAGGACAAACATTCATGACTAACATTACTGTATAACATAAATGATTTGTCATGATTTCATCGTAAATGTTTTGTCATGATTTCATCGTAAATGATTTGTCAAACATGAACGTATATGTTTTGTCATAGATTTCTTCATCGTAATGAGCGTAAATGATCCAAAAATATATTTTAGGTGAAGAGGTGAGATCTCACCTCTTTTCTCACCTCTTTTCTCACCTCATGAATTTTCATGACTTCTTCATCGTAAATGTTTTGTCATAGATTTCTTCATCGTAATGAGCGTAAATGATCCAAAAATATATTTTATGTGAAGAGGTGAGATCTCACCTCTTTTCTCACCTCATGAATTTTCATGACTTCTTCATCGTAAATGTTTTGTCATAGATTTCATCGTAATGAGCGTAAATGTTTTGTCATGATTTCATCGTAAATGTTTTGTCAAGACTTCTTCGTATATGTTTTGTCATGATTTAATCGTATATGTTTTGTCATGATTTAATCGTATATGTTTTGTCATAGATTTCTTCATCGTAATGAGCGTAAATGTTTTGTCAAGACTTCTTCGTATATGTTTTGTCATGATTTTATCGTATATGTTTTGTCATGATTTAATCGTATATGTTTGTCAAGACTTCTTCATCGTAATGAGCGTAAATGTTTTGTCAAGAATATAACAACCGCCTGAATTCAGACGGTTGCTTTTTATACAAAATTCACACAGGAAAATTCTTGAGTTTTGGTTGAAAGAATACGGTCAAGCCAAAAGTGGCTCGACCTCAAAACAAACATTTTATGAGCTTACTAAGGCATTTATGAATGAATTCAAAGGTATTTGCATACATCCTGACCTCGTTCATTTTGTTGCTGAATGGTGCTCTGTAAAGTATGCATTTTATGTCAAAGATATTATGGACTCCATAGATAAGAAAGTTCATGAGAAGTTAGATGAAGAAGAACTCGAAGATACAGTAGAGAATGCAAAAACAAGCATTTTATGAGCTTACTAAGGCATTTATGAATGAATTCAAAGGTATTTGCATACATCCTGACCTCGTTCATTTTGTTGTTGAATTCAGCAAAAATAATGTTTAGGGTAGATGGTTTTTAGGTGTCACTACGTCACCATGTCACCAGGTTAATTAACTTCTCTTAAAATTACTGACAACATGACATTTAGACAACAGTCCAGGAAATATATTTTATCGTATATGTTTTGTCATGATTTTATCGTTTATGTTTTGTCATGACTTCATCGTAATGAACGTAAATGTTTTGTCATGATTTCATCGTTCATGTTTTGTCAAGTTTCATCGTATATGTTTTGTCAAACATGAACGTAAATGTTTTGTCAAACATGAACGTAAATGTTTTGTCATGATTTCTTCATCGTAATGAGTGTAAATGATTTCATATAATTGCTTACCTCGGAAAACCGAGAGAAGAGATTCCATATGAAAATCGCAAGAATTTGGCTCCTGGTTTGAAATATTATTATGTTCATAGATTTCATCGTATATGCTTTGTCAAACATGAACGTATATGCTTTGTCATGATTTCTTCGTATATGTTTTGTCATAGATTTCTTCATCGTAATGAGCGTAAATCAGACAAAAATATATTTTAGGTGAAGAGGTGAGATCTCACCTCTTTTCTCACCTCATGAATTTTCATGATTTCTTCATCGTATATGCTTTGTCAAACATGAACGTATATGCTTTGTCAAACATGAACGTATATGTTTTGTCAAGACTTCTTCATCGTAATGAGTGTAAATGATTTGTCATGATTTCATCGTACATGTTTTGTCGAAACTTCATCGTATGTGTTTTGTCATAGATTTCTTCATCGTAATGAGCGTAAATGATCCAAAAATAATGTTTATGTTAGAATGTTAGATCTCACCTCTTTTCTCACCTCTTTTCTCACCTCATGAATTTTCATGATTTCTTCATCGTATATGCTTTGTCAAACATGAACGTAAATGTTTTGTCAAACATGAGCGTAAATGTTTTGTCATGACCTCATCGTATATGTTTTGTCAAGACTTCTTCATCGTAATGAGTGTAAATGTTTTGTCATAGATTTCTTCATCGTAATGAGTGTAAATGTTTTGTCATAGATTTCTTCATCGGAATGAGCGTATATGTTTTGTCAAACATGAACGTATATGTTTTGTCAAGACTTCTTCATCGGAATGAGCGTATATGTTTTGTCAAGACTTTTTCATCGTAATGAGCGTAAATGATCCAAAAATAATGTTTAGGGTAGATGGTTAGATCTAACCTCATTTCTACCCTCATTTCTACCCTCATGAATTTTCATGATTTCTTCATCGTAATGAGCGTATATGCTTTGTCATGATTTCATCGTAAATGATTTGTCAAACATGAACGTAAATGTTTTGTCAAAACTTCATCGTATATGTTTTGTCAAGACTTCTTCATCGGAATGAGCGTATATGTTTTGTCATGACTTTTTCATCGTAATGAGTGTAAATGTTTTGTCATAGATTTCTTCATCGGAATGAGCGTATATGTTTTGTCATGATTTCTTCGTACATGTTTTGTCATGACTTTTTCATCGTAATGAGTGTAAATGTTTTGTCAAACATGAGCGTAAATGATCCAAAAATAATGTTTAGGGTAGATGGTTAGATCTACCCTCATTTCTACCCTCATGAATTTTCATACGGAATCTCTTCGTACATGTTTTGTCATGACTTTTTCATCGTAATGAGTGTAAATGTTTTGTCAAACATGAGCGTAAATGTTTTGTCAAACATGAGCGTATATGTTTTGTCATGACTTCTTCATCGTATATGTTTTGTCGAAACTTCTTCATCGTAATGAGCGTAAATGTTTTGTCATGACTTCTTCATCGTAAATGTTTTGTCGAAACTTTTTCATCGTAATGAGTGTATATGTTTTGTCAAACATGAGCGTAAATGATCCAAAAATAATGTTTAGGGTAGATGGTTAGATCTAACCTCATTTCTACCCTCATTTCTACCCTCATGAATTTTCATACGGAATCTCTTCGTACATGTTTTGTCGAAACTTTTTCATCGTCATGAGCGTAAATGTTTTGTCATGATTTCATCGTAAATGTTTTGTCATGACTTCTTCATCGTACATGTTTTGTCAAACATGAGCGTAAATGTTTTGTCATGACTTCTTCATCGTATATGTTTTGTCATGATTTCTTCATCGTACATGATTTGTCGAAACTTTTTCATCGTAATGAGTGTATATGCTTTGTCAAACATGAACGTATATGTTTTGTCGAAACTTCTTCATCGTAATGAGCGTAAATGTTTTGTCAAACATGAGCGTAAATGATCCAAAAATAATGTTTAGGGTAGATGGTTAGATCTAACCTCATTTCTACCCTCATTTCTACCCTCATGAATTTTCATACGGAATCTCTTCGTACATGTTTTGTCATGACTTTTTCATCGTAATGAGTGTAAATGTTTTGTCAAACATGAGCGTAAATGATCCAAAAATAATGTTTAGGGTAGATGGTTAGATCTACCCTCATTTCTACCCTCATTTCTACCCTCATGAATTTTCATACGGAATCTCTTCGTACATGTTTTGTCGAAACTTTTTCATCGTAATGAGTGTAAATGTTTTGTCAAACATGAACGTAAATGTTTTGTCATGACTTCTTCATCGTATATGTTTTGTCGAAACTTCTTCATCGTAATGAGCGTAAATGACCCAAAAATAATGTTTATGTTAGAATGTTAGATCTAACACCTTTTCTAACATGTTTTCTAACATGGAGGATTTCATTAGATATAAACATTCTTCCCTAAACATTATTTTAGTTAAAGTCCATCAAATATTTTTAGGATACTTTCACCAAATAATGTTTATATCAGATGAAACAGTAAAGTATTATATTTATTAAATCGTCTATGATGTAAATTGTGTATAGAATGAAATGAAGGAAGAATGTTTATATCAGATGAAACAGTAAAGTATTATATTTATTAAATCGTCTATGATGTAAATTGTGTATAGAATGAAATGAAGGAAGAATGTTTATATCTAATGAAATCCTCCATGTTAGAAAACATGTTAGAAAAGGTGTTAGATCTAACATTCTAACATAAACATTATTTTTGGGTCATTTACGCTCATTACGATGAAGA